TTGAAATTTGATCAATATGTAAACCGATTTGTCTTTTTTAAATGTGTGTAACAAACTGATTAAAAACGTGGGTAATTTCAAAAATATTTGCGATTGCTCAAAAGTCGGCGCGCGTGTGACACGGTAAAAACGTGCAAAATTGACCGGATTTGAGGTGTTGAGGGTAAGTTACTCCGATCTACGTCGTTTTTTATCCGTGAAATTTATATGACAGGATGCTTAATGAAATGAAGAAACGATGTAATAGTAGTTTTTATCATAATAATTTATTTTTATAGGAGATATGTCCCTGTGACACTCAAAAATTGCTTTTCCAAGAAGTACCCAAAAACAAGAAAGGTCCAAGTATAACAAGAAAGGAACACCCATCTTAACTTTCGATCCAGGAGATCTTTTGCCATTGATATCAATCCTATGCACTCTACCATTCAATTATGATACAATAAAATCCAATGAGTTATCTCTAAATCCATAATAATGAAGTTTCCTAATCAATTTTGATGAAAACAGGTCACAGAAAACACTTAACACATAATGTGAATCCTCCCAGGCATTGTATATTGTATTAACTTCGGTTGTTAAGCGACTCTTTGTAAAACCAAATTGTTGTCGATTGTATTCTCGTAAAAGTATGATTGAATTTGATCCCGCATGATATTTTCAAAAATCTTACTAAACGTAGGTAGCACTGATATAGGTCTGACTGAAGTTAGTAGGGTCAGATGTGCTACCCGATTTATATAAAAGAATAATTTTATTATATTTCATGAGCTCAGGAAAAATACCACAATCAAAACGTTCATTAAATATATAAGCTAGGATTGGAGCTATTGTCTCAATTACCGATTTGGCAACGTCATTGGAATTACCCCATAAATCAGCTGCTTTTTTTTTCTTTAGCTGATTAAAACTTTATCTTTACTATTTTTGTTTTTTTTTTGCCTTTCAATTAAATTACATTTGGCTAAATGACACACTTTTTTTAAATAATTTGGAGCAATTTCGTACATATTCTTTAAATAATTCGTACTTACTTGTGTTAAAATAACATTCATCATATGGTTTATAGAGCCTTTTTTTTGTCGATTCCTGATGTAGCCCACACACTAAAAGTTATAGGATTACTAATACTATTTTTTGGGACAAAAATGTTATTGAATTCTGTACAATAAACATCAAAGAAATCTTTGTACAAATCATTGGGATTACTTTCATGTTTCAAATGACACAATTTACTATCTAATTAAAACTTTCCAAGCGACTCATACTTTTTGACACAACTGTGATGTCTCTCCTAGCCACAATCGTGCATTTATGCAAAAAGCTAACTATTTTTTCAAAATGATCTGACGGTAGTTTTTTAATTATCTGTTTTGAAAGTGGTATCAGATTTATAAAAAATGTGATTGGTGTCGGGATTGGCAATGGTTTTATTTCAGAGGTCAACGCAAAACTTGGGTCTATGTCACTCTCTAAAATCAATAAGTGTAATTTTAGCTGGATATGAATTGTAGAGTAGGTGCCTACTTAAATCTACCTAAATTAATTTAACGTTGACTATAATATAATACGAATACTTATGTGGTTTCCCACCTTTTGGTAATGAAAATGTCGCAGGGAACTAAAAAGTCAGGATTTTCTCGTAATCACTAAGGAACCACGGTAGGTGAATGACGAATATTACTAAAAATATGTATCTTATAATATGCTAAAATACCTAGTAGGTAATCTAAGATCAATGATATGGACTAATAATATCGATGAGATATCGTTTTATAAACTAAATCTAGTGAAAAATGATGTCGTTCTTAATGAAAAATGCTTAAAAAAATTATGATATTATTAAGCATTTTTAATAAAGAATATTTTTCAGTATAGCATTGTAATGCAAAATCCATGAAATAAAATAAAGTTGATGTTAATAAAAAATAATCCATAATTTAAATGAACCTCGGAATCGACGAACTCATCCCATATGCATTATGACAAAGACCGCCTAAAGGCCTGAAGCCGCCATTGATCAGAATTAACGAGGACCAATCCAATCAAACGAGCTTCATAGGTAGATAATTCTTATATGGACAGACTACACGACACTGCACTTGGCTATCAAAAACATTGAAAATCTTTATTGCGACATTACCAGATAACATATTAATGAAACCCGGGCTTCTGAATTTAAGAAACTTGTGTCTCGGATAATATTTAGACAATATTTGACATATACCGTAATTTAATGGTATCCCTAGCAATTTCGCGAAATTCTTGGTTTCTTAATTTCCCGGTGACATAGACAATTAATTGATAAGGAATGTTAATATACTTTAAGAGGTAGATAGTTATTATGTTACATGTATGTTCTATTCTTAGATTAAATATTTAGTGTTAACGTTATATTTATAACTAGCTGTTTTCCACCGACTTCGCCCACAGATATTACCTATAACCTACGTCACCCGCGTATAACTTCCCATAGCTGAAGGAATTTTTAAATCGGTCCATTTTTTTTTAAACTAAAGGAAGGTTTCTAACCTATTCAATGCAAACAAACAAACAGTCAAATTTTTTCCCTTATTAATTTTAAAATAGACAGACGAAAAATCGTCCCACTAATAAAATTACAATAACTCTTTATGTCTCCTGATATATCTTCCATAATGTCCCAGACCACTCATAAAACAAATATACTACTTCCGTGCCAATGAGCGAGACGTAAAGCTTTTCTCGCTTTATTTCGGACGGTTATAGATCACTAAATATGCATGACGCATGTTTTTCCCCTCTGTAAGGAAAAGACATTATTGTTATTGGAGTTATGGTACCATTATCTGTTTGACCTATATTTATTTTACAAAAACCTTCTTATTTATATCATAATTAATGGATTTTAGCACTGCATTAGTAGGGTTTGGCTATTTATCGCTATAATATTCGTCGCCTTATATTGTAACATCAAAAGTACACTATACTTGAATTCAATTTAATTTAACAAAGGTATAAAAAAGCACATGTGAATATAGGCGCATTTGCAGGCTTGACCACCCTAGGCCTTGTAACTAGCCACCACTTTTAAACTCTAATTTAATGTTTCGTATATTTTCTTAAAAACATTTATTGTATTCGATGCAATAGTTGTGTTTATATCGCAGTGTTATAATTAATTTATAATGTTATTTGTTGTTGGTTCATCCGTTGGAATACACTGTCAGTGTAGTATAAATATGCCCATAATATGATTACATTACATCTGACACAATTAATAGCTGTGTAATCATAACAATCTTTATTCCATGAAAATATGAAACTAGCTGTTATCCCGCGACTTCGCACACGTAAATTATAGCCTATGTCAACCCCGCATAATGAAGCTACCCCTACGTAAAAGAATTTTCAAAATCGGTCTTTCCTTTTTTAAATATTTTTAGTATTAATATAGATATAAATAACAGCTGTTTGTTTCTATATTTATCTCAGCTTAGTATAGTAGTTTTTTAATTCCCGGCCTTACATTTATGGCCGAGCCCTACACTGCACCCCACTTTTGAGCAGGCCTTTTTTATTGCTAGTTTCTCATGTATTCCAGTTCTCGCTTTTTCTCTATCCCTTTCATACCTCATTCCTAGTCTTTCTTACATTCCTATCTCATTCTCACTTCGAGTGGCCGGGATCGCCACATCTATTACTATTCCTATTCTAATTATATCTATTTCCTTTTATAAATGATGTACTCTACGCCCACACTAATGTTGAAATTCCTGAAAGTTTCGGATACATTAGAAGTTTTCCGGAAAATTTCGGGTAGTTTACCTGAAAACTTCCGAAATATTGGGAAAAAATATTTATAACTTGGTTAAGGTTACGTGTGGATCTACTAAAAAAAGATAAGCCAAGTGCTAGTCAGACTCGCACGAAAATTTCAACTGTCTAAATACTACGGTTCATGAGACATACAGACAGACAGTGAAGTCTTCGGATAGGGAACCCTAAAAACTTCTTTGTGGACTCATTAAATTTAGAGTTTGTCAAGCAATGCTAGTAGATGTTTACTGTACCGAAATTGGCAATATCATACTTTAAGCTCTAATATTGAGTGATGTTCCCAAAGCATAAATAGCTCGGACTAGGGATAATTTATTTTCTTTGGCTCTGGAGAAATAATATTAAAATAATATATTAATAATAATAATACTATATATATATATATATATATACATATATCATATATATATCCATTCTTTATACATATATATTATACATATATATAATATCAATAATATTTAAAAAAAAAAACGAAAACACTAAAAAAACACGAACACAAGTTGATTTTAATATCAATAATATTAAAAAAAAACGAAAACACTAAAAAAAACACAAACACAAGTTAATTTTTGAAGGAAACGAATGGACTAAAGACAGTCATTTCCGTTCCTTTTTAACTAAAATGTAAAAAAAACAGAAATTTGAAAAGTTCGAAACTTAGATATCAATACAAATATGAAAAAGTGCAAATAGAATAAGACTTTTTTCTTGAGTTCTGAAAACTTATTTACTTTTAAACATGAAAGAAAACCGTAAGGGTTGTCACGGAGAAATCAAGAAGTACCGTAGCGACATCTACCGTAGCGATATCTACCGTAGCGACATCTACCGTAGCGACATCTAGTTTGATTTCGGAAACTAATGTGTTTTTTTTTATTACCACCTCATTATCATTTCTAGCCCACATGTTGAATGCCTTCAATTTGCTTCGGTAGACGTCACGCGTATTTGATCGCCAACATATCGGCACAAATTGACTAATGTGTACAGTGAAGTAGGTAGCCAAAACGTTTAAATAAAATTACTGACAGCTGTCAAAACTGAGGAGCACGCACGTACGTCAAAATAAAAATGACGTATTATAATCGAAGTTAGTTTCGATTACAATTTAATTTCCCGTAATTATGTCTAAAATTAAATTTATAATAAAGACAAAAATGTGTAAACATTAGCAATAAATAATGTTGAATTATAACATAAAGTTTCTCAGTTGTGATGATTGTATACAGTTAAAAAATGGAGACTTTAAAACTTCTAAGTAAGTTCGTACATAAAAAAATATACCAGAAGTTGTTGATGCTTTTGCTAACATAAACAAAAGACATTCATATATTAAAATGTATGTTTCATAGAAAGACCTCGGTTTAGTTTATCAGTAATAATTAGAAACTTTATATTTAAAGGTATGAAACTAAGAAAAGAACTGATGAATCTATCTATGATAGTGCCAAAAGAAGTTTTTGTGAGCGACGTTGCGGTTATTGGAGAGCACCAAGACCTCGTCAAATACGTCAACTGGATGCTAAGCTTCGGGACAAGAGTATAGTTGTTTGTGAATGGACAACAGAATCTCTTATTACTATTGTATTCTCAAATGGAGCCATTGCATACTTGACCATAAAACCGGGAACGTTAGATGTGCTCCAAATTCTATTTGATAGATATTGTGTCGGAAAATTATCTGGCCAGACTGTCACAGGTGGTATGTATTGAAAGTTTATAGAGATTGTTTATAACTTAATTATCGTTTTCACAACACAGCACTAGTTATACATGGAAATATAATATTGTTTTCTGGTTATTACATTTGTTCAATCTTTTATTCACAATACTATACTGGAAAATATTCTTAATGAAAAATGCTTAAAAAAATCATACTTTATACCTGGTACTCTGAGGTAGGATTTGAATCCATTACCTTTCCTAATCTGGGTAACTGCTCTACCACTGAGCTATCCAGGACCTAACAAGACTGATGAAAGTGCACTTGTTAATTTTTGCTAATACAGAGCGCGTTTCCATATATCTTCAAGCAATCATTTGGGAAGATTGAAAAGTAAATATTTTTAAACTTTTGATAAAGATGAAAATCTGTTCTAACTCTATATTAGATCAATTTTGCATTCAGATAATGAAATATGCTTAAAAAATCTACTTTGTTCCTTGTACCTGAGAAGATTTTTCCACTATTTAATTTCATTTATAAAGATTGATCAGCCTACCCTATCCAACAACTGCTGTAAAGTATAAAAAAAATGATGTACTTAATAATTATCAGTTATCTAACATAAATAGAAATAAAAACATAACTATTGAATAGTTTTAACAGTACTTTTTTAAAAAAGGACAAAATTCTCAATAACTTAAAATTTTTACATTTCACATGGCAAAATTTTATTAAAGTGCTATCAACTGATCATTCAAAAATTCAAATTATAAATGAAAACCTTTTTAAGTGATGGTGAAGATGGTTTATGAATGGTTTGAGACATGTTTAACTTTAAATTCTCAATTCAAAAACCGGGTGTCTCTCTAGTTGCCACTGATAATGTTTATTTTTTCATATAAACATTTTTTGTTTCAGCAATTATCTCACAATCACATTTGGTATTTACTCATAGTGACCGATTAGCTACTGTTATAACTTATGGTAAAAATGTAGCCAACATACCATTTCGTATATCTGACAGAGATCCTCAACTACAAGTAAGACAAATATTATATATACATAGATGTTCTTTTTTATTCTGTTAATGTTCTGTTAAAAAAAAAAAACATTGAATTTGGCATCATTAGTTAAAGCAGAAAGGATTCAGTCCTCTAATTTGGTATTGTTCCAAAATCAAGGTTTTATTAAATTTGATCAAATTCGTTGAGTTTGCAAAACAGTATCTATGGTTAAATATGAGAGGTCAGGATATAAGGGTTCATAAAATAGCCATATGACACTGAATGAAATCAAAAGGAAACACTCAAAATATTTGATTAGCCTACTTTGATACAATGTAACTTGTGTATGAAATAAATAATTTGTTAAATTTTATCAAGATTTAGTGATTTATTTCAATTGATTCTGATTTGTTTTTTCCAAATGAATACACATGTCTATTATTAATGTTGAAATTCAGATATAATTTTGAATAATGTTGATGTCAACATTTATAGTTTTTTACTATCATTTGAGGTCACAACACTCACAGATTAAAAAAAGATTTTAATTTAGAAAATTAATAAAAATTATTATATTTAAAATTAATGATATAATTAATCAGTTAAATTTGATATTTTTTACTAAATCTAACTACATATCGCATTTATTTGTTTTCATCAACAATCAACACGCAGATTATCTAAATCCTCACTTATCAATTTTCCAGACAATAGAGCTTGGTGGTGCTCGTCGAAGTGATAGGAAACTATCAGCCTGTGACAGTAAGGGTAACCTTAAACTTCTTGTGTGGAGTACATCAAGTATAGAACTGGCACCTTGGAGCCCTGTGTTAGAAGACCATGCCAATTTGCACCTTTATAATGTCAAAGGGTATGTTACCTATTAATTACTTACTATTGTGTATTTAATCTCTAAACGAAATATGTTGATTAAAGAAAATATTAGGCAAATTGAAGGAACTGCAAAAAAAATGTTACATTTAAAGCAAAATAATGTCTTTGTTGATTGGAACATCAACTAATATTAATAAATGACTTTTGATTCGTCTTCATCCACATGGATATTCTATAAAAAATTAATAATGGTTTAATATCAAAAAAGGATAATGATGTTAAAAAATCCAGACTAGTATTTACTTTTTCATTTATACCTTCTAACATCTAACATCATAATGTCTCATTTCTGCGAGACCTGGGTTTTTTTTGAGCATTGTTCTTTGATCCATAAATTTACATTAATACCATACTAATATTATATACGTCAACATTTGGTGACTGTACACATTAATTTATATAATGATCATCTCTCATTTTTCAGTCATCACATCTCATTAGCCGCTTACCATCAACTGGAAAATGAAACTTTGTTAACAGAACTATCATGCAAGGAATTTGTTCATATTATAGAACAAAAAACATGTCATAAGGTAAAATATTTTATTCATTTAGATAATTGCAAAATAAAATTCTATAAAATGAAGAATTTTACATAAAAAAAAATTAAATAAATTTTAAGTAAAATTCTTCATTTTCAAAACTTAAAAAACTTCAAAATTTGTCTGTCATCTATTTAAAGGTGATGGTTTAAATGAATGCTACTACTCATTCGAATATATAATAACAAGAGCTATTCATTTGGTGCGAAAAAAAATGATGCTGCAACCCTGATGCACAGATATTTTCGCGAATATGCTTTTAATAAAATCATAAGTACAATCAGAAATTTTCTGAATTAATTAAAGGACAAATAGAATAGGCACTCAGGTGTCATGTTAATTCATATGAGTTATATGCCCATCACTAATTTCAGAATGGGGTCAACCTGAATTGGTTACGTTATAATGTGTCAAACAACAATGAAAGACCCACAAAATTGTCTTCCATGCGAGAAAGCGAGACGCACGTATCACTACCAGCTCCAGCGCGAACTGTACGACGTTCACCATGTGATCTAAAAATCTTGGTAGCGTGCATCGATGGCTCATTACATGTCATACACAATGTCGTTGGTGTCACACATTCTGTCCGAGCAGGATTTGTAAGTATGCTACAAACTGCACACCCAACCGCAACTTTTAAAGCATATATATGTGTGAGTGTTGGTCCATCTTACATCAATAGAAGTATCCAGTCTGGTATAGAACAAGTTTGATGAAAATAGTATGCGAAAAAAGACAAATTTCACAAAAATAAAAATACGGGAATCCTACTGATTGTGATATTTTATATATAGATTTTGAAATAGTTTTCGATCGTGTGGATCACGTCATCCTACTTTCTATAATCACCTTTGCCACCTGACTTATGTATTGGAGTCACATTAGCTACGTTCCATGAAGATGGACAAGTAACACTCTTTAACGACAGTTTGTATAATAGAGTTAATGGTTTTACTAAAGTTTCTGAGCAAAATCTAAAAAAGATAGGAGGAATGCCATCAGGCCGGACGCGGCCGATCTAAGGACGCGGTTAGATAAATTAACATCCTTTGAAAGTTTTAAGACCTATTTCTGACTTATTTTTATATCGCCAAGTGAAAAAATTGTCGATTCAAATTTAGGATGATAATTAGGTTTTGAATCAGGATCATTAATCTAAAAAAAAGTACCTCGCGAATTGATCCACAACATATGCACCACAATTGGTAACCTGTCCATCTAAATACATATATCTAGGGGTATCATTATGACTCTTTTGATTTTTTGTGTATCTCCAAAAAAAATTAAGCCTAATACCGAATCCTCCTCAATTCTATTTATATATATCTTGAAACATTCATCCACCATTTTTTTGGCTCGTTATCTAACTTATAAAAATATCGTAATCCCGCGGATATTAAATCTATGATGGTAATTCCATTTCTTTTTAAGAAAATTGAGAAATCATTCACTAATACTGGAATCCATTAAAAACTCCTGATTGACTTCAAGAAAATAAAACAGGTGAAAACAGAAGACAAACATATTACTCAAATATTTATTTGCCAAATCAGATTATAACGATAAGGCAATGATGACCAATTACTAAGTGAATATTATAGATGTTTTATAAAATATTGTAATAATACAGTTTCAAGAAGTATATTAAGTATTTTTTCCACTTTGGTGCTAGTGTTCTGTTTAAAGTAGAAAGTAAACTGGTAAAGGCTTTGGGTATTCGATTTCAGATAGCAACTGAAGTATGGTGGGCAGGGGATCTCATAATAGCTGCAGAAGAAGGCGGCAGAATACAATGTTTTGATCGAGCATTGTCTTTGCTTCATCACCACACCAAATGCTTTGACTTGGCTACTTATTTGAGGTGAAAATTTTTGAAGAACTTTGGTACCGCCAGCAGCTAATATAAGAAATATAAAAAAACCATATCGTTTGTCTCGCTAAAACCCGAGAACGGCTGGGCTGATATAGCTTATTTCACACTTTTTGGTATATTCGTAAATGTATAGGCAAATTATAAAATAAATTATATATCTTTAATGAAAAATGCTTTAAAAAAAAAACATTTTATCACTTTCATTAAGATTATTTTTCAGTATAGCATTGTGAATGCAGGGTTGATCAAATATAATAAATAAATAATATTATTATTTAAGTTCAGATATTCCATACATTACCTAAGTATTATATAGAATACCCCATCATACAGATTGCCAAAAATCAATAACACATAATGATTTTTACACATTATCTCTTTTGAAATGTTATTAATAAGATTTTGTTTCTAAATTTTCTTATTATTATTATTTTTAGAGACCCTAAACGTATGCAGATATTGGCAGCACAAAAAGCGAGAGCTGGTCCAATAATATTTTTGACATTTGCTGGAGGACCATTAGCGCTGTTACATATTACACATCCTCGTTTACTAACTGTAAGTATTTTTTATATACTTCATTTAATCGGTTTTCTTGTTTAACTTGCAATATATGTATGTTTGTCAAATCTTGCAACCGAATTTTAAAGCATTTATCCTTAACCGATTTAGTTAAGTTAGGTCACTCAAATCTAATATGACAGAGAGACTCTAAGTACTCTTATAATAAGGGTTTCAAAAAGAAGGTTTCGTTAAAATATTACGGCAAATAAAAATACCAGTAACAATAGTTATAAAATGTTGCTTAAATGATTGTAAAAATTAAAAATAAAATTTGAAATGAATCTGATAAATTATTGTTATTTATTATTTTTCTAAAAAATAAATTAACTTAATTATCTAATATAGAAAATAATGGTTTATATTATTTCGGCGTTTTGTAATTTTAAGCTCAGTCAGACAATAGAAAGATGGTTTAAGTTGTGATGAGCTAAATCTAGGGATAGTAATGACAAGCTTACCGATTATCGGATATAATCAGTAAATTACCCAAGAACGACTGGAATGCCCCTAACGTTAATTTCCAGGAAAAGATGTTCCATACAGCCATGTTGAGGAGAAGAAGAGGATAATATTTTATATGATAAACGGCTGTACTGATAGATAGCAACACCACCACCAGCTTACCCCCGCGGTCATTGGGTCTTAGCGTATCAGATCTTATCCCGGAAAGTTGTATGAATCAGAATTTGGAGCAGGTTTTAAGCAGGACTGGGACATGGGCACTGCTTGAAATAACTTTAGGGGAGAACAGTGTCAAAAACATCATTAAATTATATCTGATTTTATAATTTTTAAGGTTCCAACGTTTATGTGAATTTCAATGTTTTCACAGTCAACAGATAGTACAAAAAAAAATCATAGTTTTAATGTAGCCTTTAATCTAACTGTACAATGGATTCGATATATTTGAATTTTTTATTCAGCTAATGAAAGTAATCAGAAAACTAAAATAAAACTAATCCACGTATTAATAAATTCACTTTATATACCCAATAAATATAAGAGGAAGCACATTTTTATTTTACAATAAAAAAGTCGCCTAGAATTAAACCGTATTGTTCCACCGTACACTTTTATGTGACACAAGTGCTTTTTTGAACAGTCTTGGTTACGTGCTGGCCGTTCTTCTAACGCGGTATCTTTACTCCGTGCCCTAGATTGGGATGAAGACGGTATGGAATGTCTGTGGGCAGTCAATAAGCTCGTTTGTTTCGCACTACGGAGTGGCACTGGTGAGTTTTATCTTTTTAATGAGCCAAGGAGTAGCTCGGTAGCGTATTCGAAAAGCGCCACCAGCTGCGATCTCTGTAATTTAAGCAACTTTAGCAAGTGTCAATCACGGGATAGTTGACCAAAAAAATAATCTGTTCTCTGCTTCGGAAGGCACGTTAAGCCGTTGGTCCGTATACATCTGCAGTTATTAATCCGCATTGGGACAGCGTCATGCGAGTCATGGCCCATCCTCCTTAATCATAAATAAGGAAGGGCTGAGCCCCTGCAATCAGGGGCGTACAATATTGAAAAACTTAAAAATTTTAAGCATAGTTTCAGTACCTTCTAATGAGTTTGACCACATGACCTGGCCTGGCCAGCATGATGATAATTTGATGTTTGTTGGTCACCATCGAAATAAGTTATCGAAAAATAATTTCGTTTGATCAAAATAATAAGAACTACTTAACCGTTAATACCTATTATTTTAGACATTGTTCACACTTCCAGTAAAAAATCGTCGCAGAAATAACAAGATTGTTTAAAAGTATTTTATAAACAAGAAAATTATAGTTCGGTTGACACACTACTCACTGGTACCTATAGTAAACATTAGTTTTGCTAATTTGTAAACTTCAGGAAATATGGTTGTTAAATTATGTAAATTTTGAATGCTAGCCAATTAAAACTATCATATTTCTTTTTGATTAAAGAACGAGTGATATTACCTTTTTTAGTTAAATCAGACCCAACCACACACCATCCATTTACTATTATTTAAAATTTTTCTTCAAAGAGCAACGAAAATACATTCGTAGCTTATTTTCTACTCATTTCATATCGTGTAATTAAGTCTCAAAATAAATTGAGAATAAAAATTGCGAGGCTGATAAATATTTCCAAAAAGTTAGCCCTATGCCATTCGGACCATATAATGACCATTTGCTATACTACTTCTATGCGATTCGGACCGTACAATGACAATTTGCTACGTTACGTTTCGTTCTACAACGGAAACATATTCTTTTCTTTTGTCATAAGCTTAAAAGTTCATATTAACAATTACATATTATTTCCACATTTACGAGTCAAACTATAAGCTTTTATTAAATAAATTTTTAAAGTAGCTTCACAATTAACTCGAGTTTTGACAGCTTATATAACCTCGAAACATTATTTACAAATTACAAATCTCCCTGGCCTCCAGATAAAAAGATGCTTTGATGCTATTTGAGACAATAACTAATTTTAATTATCACTAATGGCAGTTAGACACGACCATTAAAAAAACATGTGACATAAATCTATGGAATGTGAATATAATTCTTTAATATATTATGTAGAAGCGTTGTCAGAAGAGGGATGTGCACAAGCGGCTCTCGGTGCATACTTGTGTCCTAGCGCGCCGCTACCGCCGGCCGCTGCACGGTACGCGCCACCCCTACACGACCTCGCCAGGAAGTTCTTCCATCACCTATTGAGGTAAGGTCAGCAAAACAAGTTATTTGTGGGTAGGGTAGGTAGATAACCCGTTTTTGATCATTTTAAGATTGTAAGCTGATTTTAGCGACATTAAAAGTTTGAAAATACAATCGTAGCTTACAGCTGTTAACGCAGTTAGTTTTGCCATAGTAAAACATTTTGAAAATCGTTCACGGTATATTAGTATAATTGTCTATGCATTTGTTAGAACGCTTTGCAGTTCCAAATGACCAAAAAAGGGACAGTGGCTGAAACCGGGTCTTCTGACCTATATTGAATTTGACAATCACTTTGAATTTGAAATTTGAATGATATTGACTAATTACACGCTACAACTATTTGACATGAGATAACAATTGCGATGCGACATTTTTTTTAAGATATTTAATGAACGATAACGTTTATTTAATGTTAATCGGAATTGTTTAAGCAAAGTGATAGTTACAAATACATATAATATGTCAAACGTAATGAATTTTCTATGACATTTATATCATTCAAACTATCATCGTTCCAAAAGCGGTTGTGACTTTAAAAATTACTTAAAAAAATAATTGGTTTTAAAATTTGACAATAGGGAATATGCACATTTTTTGAAAATATTTTAACAGAAAAACTAAAACTTAGTAATGATAATAATTAATGAAAAATAAGTAACAACTACGAGCAGTTTGAATTTTTGTTATACTTGTCGTGACGTCAAAGTTCACGACTAGAGATATGACATTTTAAATCAATGTGAAATTTGAGTGATTGGTTACTATTCAATTACCCTAATCGATTAACAACTAATCGATTTTTTTGAGTATAATAGACTTTAATAATAATATAGTGCACCAAATCGGTGAAATAAGAATGAGAGGCCTAAAACATCACTTAAATTGTAATCTGTTGTTTATTTTGCGACATAATACATTGATATTATTGCATAGATGTTAACTTTTTATAACAACGACACTTGTAATTTTGTCACATCCGCTCAGACATGTAGCATTGCGTTTGAATATTTTGAAATTACCGCTTTTCTTATTGCATTTTTTAAGACAAGACGAGAACATAGCTATTTTGAAAATATGTACATGGACTTAATTCTAAAGCAATAATGATCCTATTAGGCTACGGGTACATCAAATAAATCAATATTCGGTAGGCGCGGTCGCATAGAGAAGGCATTAAGTCTGGCGGTGGACTTGCGCGCGTGGGATCTATTCGTGGACGCGCGTTGGTCCGCCTCTAGACGTGGACTCGCCAGTCTCGCGGATGAGGCTACAGCCTTATTGGAACACTACGCACCACTAGATAGAGGTACATCAGCCTTTTAACGTCCCCACTTGCATGGGATCAAGCCTTATGGATAGTAAAGAAGAATGGTTCATGATTCTCCACGCTAACCTGCTGCGAATTGGATAGTATTAACGACCGCAAATGCTGCCGGGACCAACGGCTTAAAGTGCCCTCCGAAGCGCGGTGTAGCTCGTGATAATAATTTTTGGTCACCCATCCCGTAAACGACCCTTGCCAAAGTTGCTTAACTACAATTATTGGGACGCAGCGCTTATCTACTCCACCGAGCTACATAACACTCTTTAACCTTTCTAAACTCTTTAACTGCAGGCTAATTCTGCTAATGTTTACATAATAATCACATCTCAATAGAACGTCAACTAATTACATTTTGCCATTGTACTGTCTACTTGAAGTCCAGTATTATTATATATCTGTCACCGTTGATTTGTGAAAACATAGCACTAATAATATAGAAATTATTTGGGTTGCTTTAAATACTTTGTTCGTTTCATTTAACTAGTCTGCCATACAAATATTGTTGATTTAATCCCATATTTTTTTTAATAAAACAAAACGCTTTTTATTTTTTTAACTTGACTTAGTGACTTAGTCGTAAATGCAATTTTGAATTATGTTGAAAGATTAACCTAAAATTCTTTTTTTTTTAGAATCAGATTGCTCCGACTCTTGCTCGCAGTGCAGTTCGCATTCATATTCAGACGACACTAGCGTGTCCGACGGTAAAATCAAACCCCCACCACTCCCCAGAGTATCCCTACCAACAGTAATGCCAGTTCCGATATCCCAAACCGAATCTACCTCAACTAACAGCATCCGCCCCAACCTCCACCAATACTTAGAAAGGAACAACACTATTTGGACAACGAATGTAGACGATGCGTACGTCAAAATCACCAGTACCAGTAACGATAGAATAAAACCTATATTATTAAAGACGCAAAACGTGAAATGGGAACATATGTCTTTGAATCAAAGACTCGGCACCTCCATGCCCACTCTTGCTGTCATCGACGAATCTCCAAGCAAATCGCTTTCAACAATAGACGTTTTACCTAAACAAGATCGGCTTAATATGCAATTCAGAAACTTGTATCAAACAGAGTTTCGAGATCAATCCAATGTGTATCGCTATCATAATAATAATTATCATCATAGCTGTGTGGATACATCCTCTAAGTACGATAGTGGTGGTGATAGAGGCCGAATCGCTGAAAAGAACAAAGTCAAGTTTTCTGATACTGTCACTATTGCTGTCGTTGCGGTAAGTTCATTATTGTTTAATCAAATTATCATAATGTATACTAGCCTTAATTCTCTAGTTGATGCCTAATATGGCAATCGATATAAGCTGTTGTATATTGTTATTATTAAAAACAACGATGATGCCTGGGTATAAAAAAAAATCCCATCTCAAAGTACCAGAGACTAAACGGATTCTTTTTTAAATTTTCATTTAAAAAAAGAAATTCTATGTAATCCATCAGTCAGATAATAGAAAAATATTAGATACGTACTTTTTTTTTACTTTAATGTAACAAGAAATAGCTTAGATAACAGTCACTCAAATTGAGGAGTGCGGGCTCGCAACACAGTTTTGTAGAAAATATACGAATGCGTGACGTCATATAATATTTTAACTCAACGTGTCGCCGCAAAAAATAAAAAATACTTAAATATAATATTTTTACAAATTTACCTGATGGACAAAAAAAATAATTTATCGTTTATATTCATATAAAATATACAGCTTCCGAAAATAATAACACGATAACACCAAAAGCGTTATTTATAACTACTAATCTTCCATTATTTATCTAATATTAAAATGTAGTTGAAAGTACGTGTTAAGAGTGAAAAGTAACATTTTAGGAGCCACCAATCTGTCCAGAGAGCGCGCGCGAATTAGCCGATAGTTTGCCACTTTGTCCGCCTCACAAATATCTGGCGGCATTCGCGCCGCATCCGCGGCAAGCTCATTCGCAACCACAACATCCGCAATTGCCGCATCCGCAATTGCCGCATCCGCAATTGCCGCATCCGCCACTGCCGCATCCGTCCGCCGGTACTACGCTCGACTACGTCGAAGTGTGACGCACGCATGACAGCACGAATATGTTTGTTAATTGCACTTATTTGTCGCATGCTTTAAATTTAATTGTATGCCACAGCACAATTACAAGCATCCTCTATTGACATACTGACAAAACTAACTTTCTCCATTTGATGACGAATTTTATACGTTGAAATTAAAATTCTAAATTGAATGCTTTTACAATGAGGTATACTCACAGAACATAGAGAGAGATTAGAAGTATAATGATATTAATTTAGTATGGGAACCGAGTGTCGCCTCTCCGCACACAAATACAGATTAGATGAAATGATCATTTTGTTCACTACATGAAAAACCGCCACGCGATAGGTTCGCGATAACATAAACCAAATCCCAAAAAGATACTAAGCTAAGAAATCACACGATTAAAAACAAACTCTAATTCAACGTGATAATAAATAATTTACTTTAACATGAATGTTGAACTGTCACGTGGCTGTATATGGGGATACCAGAAGGAAAAAAATATTTTAAGATTATGCACATTTAAAAAAATTGGGGTCATCATTTTATGTGCGAACTATTAATATTAGATTTTGCTGTAACCAAGTGAATACTGAAAAATTAAGGCTTTTCCCTACATAATTTATTAAAATATCTTTTAAAAAACGCAGTACAAAAACTAAGAAAACTTAATGATACACTCTATCGTATGTCTGTGGAGTAATATAATTAAGCGAGGGAAAGTGTAAAAAAAAACAAAAATTAAGAAAACAACAGAATTTTTGTATTAATTACATTAAGCCTAATTTGTATTTTTTTCTTACTGGTATCATTCCGATTGTGCATATTAGTGATGTGACATATTAGTCGATAAAATAAGAGCTTTAAATTTTGTTATGAAACAGTTCAATGTAATTCAGTTCGACAATTTTCTACAGTGGTTTGATAGTAATTATTTAAAGCTTTATTCAAATAAAACGAAATACATAAAGTTTGCATTACCTAATGTGAGGCATGTTAATATACTTATAAATGTAAATAGTGAAAAAGTTGAGATGGTGGAATCGACAAAGTTCCTTGGTATTTTGGTATATTGATAATTTGTCAAGTAGACTGAGTTCTGCAGCATTTGCTGTTAAGAAAATTAGACTCTTAACAAATGTTGAAACGGCAAGATTGGTATATTTTAGTTATTTTCATAGTGTAATGAATGACGTATAATCTATTGTTATGGGGTTCTGCGGCTAGCATTCAAGATATTTTTATTCTACAAAAGAGAGCTGTCCACGCTATATATAATTTACGGTCTAGAGAATCTCTCAGAGAAATATTTAAAGAAATAAATATTTTGACTGTTGCCTCTCAATACATCAATGAAAATATTATGTACGCAAGAAAACATTACGATTCCTTCACAAAAAAAAGTAGAAATAAAAATAAACTTGCCATTCCAAGTGCTTGTAATAGCCTTCTTGAATAAAGATATTTTCATTTCATTTCATAATAACTAATATGATCATTACACTAATAAATTGATCATAGCCATGTTTGTTTTACTTTATTATTCTAAGTTTTATATCTGTAATAATAGTAGTAGCTACATTATTAATTGCAACGACTGGACAATAAGGAATTGCTGGTCAAGTATGAGTTTGAAAGCCGTGACAAAAAAAGTTTGAAGATAGACACAAAAGCGATAAGTACGTACAAACGTCAATCTACATATAAAGTCACATCCGTTTGAGACATGCGTCTATAAACTTATGTGCAAATATGGAGCAACAAAAAAACTGATAAAAGCTGTTCTGTGGGCGGTTCTTTAAAGTGGCTTTCTTAACTCGATTTCTATAATAATAGTTTCCGATTATGAATCAGCATAATAAGGTAAATTAAATTGACGCCTAAAAATTAATTTTGTAAATTAAATTCACACCACCAACAATATTACGTTAGTTGAAAACATAATTTTTTGTTTGTATAGATATTATGTTGTTTTGAAATTCATTTGATAGGTTTAGGTCTAAAACAGATAGGGCAAAATTAATTATGTAAACAAGGCAATCCGTTGTAAAGTTATTAGGGAAACTGAAATATAAGTAATGCAAAATAAGTGAAATCCAGTTTCACCAGTTTCTAACAAGACCTATTAGGCCAACTCTTAGCTTTTCACGAAGTTTCGTTTAATTTATGTATTGTTCATAAAACGGTGATATACTTCGTAACTTAGATATTTATAGCACATCAGTATTTTTTAATATTTATCTGCGTGTAAATAATTAACTGAATCTTCGTAAAAAAAGTGCCTGGACAGTTCATTATTTCATTTGTTCAGTATCAGTTCATCTATAATTTTCCCTTGTAAACAGTATTTTTTAGTTTTATATAATTATGGCATATATTTATCGATAACGTTGTTATGAAATGATGAAAGAAAAGCTCTAAATAAATATGTTTTAGTTATCGATTACGATCCATATAATTAACAATACGATTCCGAGCAGCAGCAGCCTATCGGTACATTTCAGACAAATGGTGGCACAGCACTATTTTTTGCAAAAGTGCACAAAATGATTTACATTGCTGTTTAGTAATGGGGTCAGAAACATTGATGTTGGTTTGAGCAATCAATGTATATTTTATTTAACATTGTGTCAAATTATTACGTTTTTTTATATTTTAGCACTAAAATTGTACTTACCAGTGAAAGGAAATGTTTGCATTAGTTAGATTGTATACTTTGCTTTGCTTTTTGCAAGTGATAATAGCACAAAACGGCATTTTTTATAGAAAAAATCTGTAAAATCACCACTCGACGATTGACGAACGACTGGCAAACATAAAACCGAGGAAAGGGCGTCATATGAGTAAAAGCGCATATGCCAGCGACGCGTGCCCCGCCCACTTACTACTTCTATTCTCTCTCTATGTTCTGTGGGTATACTACTGTGAGTAGCAGTTGGCCAAATGTCTAATTTTAAATAAGATCATTACACGCCTTTTCAATGCCATAGCGATAGCAATATATGGAATTGTGTAACTTTTACAGTCGGAACGAAAGATGATATGAATGATTTAAGAAACTTAATAAAAACTTATCCAAACCCATCGAATTATTGCAGTTACCATACAAAAGTTTCATTTGACATTTAATAAGCTGTACAGATATTTGTGTCTAAAACTTCCCTTAGATGATTCCAATTATCGTTAATGATATCATTAAATCAATAATTAAATCATTCAATCGTTCGGACTTTTGAGAAAACGTCGCAAGCGCAATCGCTATCACGTGTCATATGTATCTTGAAGTTCGTGGATATATTTAAAACTTCAACAATTAGGATCCAGGACTCTTGTAAGATTCCTATCACCACAATAGGGTATTTGTTTTAAATTATTCTTCATTGCATAATAAGCACATTATATTAACATTTCGGGCAAATTTACTGTATTGATTATTAAAGAAAAATTAAAGTTTAACTTTCCGAAATCGCACGAGAAATACTGTGTCATACGCCGTATTTACTAGCGTGTGACGTTATCGGAATTGCAACCAATTACAAGGCGATTTTGTCACTGATAAAAGGTCATAAAATATTTTATTTTATGTCATCTGCAAAAAAATATACAATCTGCAAAAAATATACATTATTTCGTTTAAAATAATGTGAAATATGTGTTATTACCAGAGGTCGGAATTAGGTAGAGTTATTTATGTACTTACATCGAAATGTTGATATTAATGTGGACCTTCCTGGGATTTCTTTATTTCTTTCTTTCATTGATGTAAGTTTGGCAACGTCGTGCGTGCAGTAGTTTAAATTGTGTAAAAGTAAATAATTTTAATTTAAAAAAATCACGGAATTTTTTCTGCTCTTTAAAATTAATCTCGGGATTTGAGGCATATCCACTTTATTCTTTCGCTGTATGTAATCAGTGTAAGTACATGAATAACTCTATCTAATTCCGACCACTGGTTATTACTCCATTATCTTATTGACCACAATTTCTAATATATTTTTGACAACATCAACCCGACCCTGGTCCGAAGCCCAGCACGCATCTATGAACTAATAACAAACTAACATGGCTCGTTATGATTGCTATATATTTTTGCACTTTTCAAGAATTAAACTTCTGTGCTAGTATTTGGGTGTAACTTATAACAAGGGTTCCGATGTAATTATGCTTACATAACAATTTGCATGCTCCCACGCTATATGTCGTCAACAAAATTATGAGAACGGTTTTTAAATTTTCCGATATTTCGTTCTAGGGTAGGCCCAGTTCTCTTATAGAATAACACCAATACGGCATTATGAAAACAACATAACAAATATAATACCTATTTCTCTAAAATTATTAGGTATTATTACATTAATAGTTCTCCCTATTCGATTCGTTTCTATCCATAGGGAAGGCCTGGGCCCCGGCAATGGGGACATTAATATAAATTATTATATTTCGATTAATTTTGAATCACAATGCCATACTGAAAATAATTCTTAATTCCCATCTCAGGGTGCCAGGGACCAAGTGGATTTTTTAAGCATTTTGTATTAATAATAATCAATTTCAATGGCTGGTAAGATGATGATGACATTAATACTGGTTTTTTTTTCATTTATTTCAGAAAGTGCCGACAAACAACCTCCTAAAATCAAAGTAGTCCACTTTGGTATGGTGTAATATAAATAAATTATTATTTTTAAGTGTATTAGTAAAAAAATATAGAATAGGTTATATAAAACTAGTTATACTAGTATTTCATCATTATATACTATGATTTTATTATATTAATTTTTAATAGATTAATTTCCTCAATTCTAGTAACGTTGAATCGTTTTATATATTGATGACGAAAATTGAAGTGATATTTTCTAAAATAAAAATACTTTATTTTTCTCAAGCCTCCAACTACCTCTATATTTAGTTTCATCACAATCGAACCAGGGAGTAGCTCGTGAAAGCTTAACAAACAAGTGTATTCACATTTATAATATTACTAGTGTACAAGTCCATGTACATTGTTTGTAGGTAAAAATAATAGTCTGATCAGCATTTCAAGCAGGGCTTGAAACCGGTTCAGGATAAACCGTTTTTATTTAGGTAAAACCTGATCTCTTATAATGTTCCGTTCCGGATCGGAACTAAATGCGGAGTGAAATTCGGATGGAATAAAAACCGGTTAATTTGCTAGGTTCGTAAAAAGCAATGTTCTTACGCGATATAATAGATAGGAGTATAGGTACTTAAAAACCGTGTGGAAGTTTCAAGATCATTGTCTGGAGTCATATTTAGACCGTTTAATGAAGAAAACCGTATTTCTAGTGACCCGGTTTAAAAACCTGTTCAAAGGAGCTTTTATGTAAAGTTCCGCATGTACTTACGTCGAACCGGTTCAAAAAATAAACCGGTTTCCAAGCCCTGATTTCAAGTTCGGCACTCTGTAACATAAATTTACGTATTAATTATTATCATTTATAATTTTATTATATTAAAATGAAGTTTATTATTAGACCCGTCATACCTTTACATTATTGCGTTTTAATAAAGCGTAAACTTTATTGTGCTAGAGCAACTTTATAATACAACCACAAAGGGCGTGAAAAAATCAAAAATATTTATCACCCTATCAGAATCTTAAGCATTCCTCTTGTTAGAAAGAGATACTTGCATAACTTTACATATCAACTGCTGCATAGAACACGATACATGAAAAAATGGCGGCGTTCAATGACGTTTTATTAAAATAAAAAAGAGTAAGTACATTACTTACGCATGAAATGATATCTTTTTTGCTTTTCTCAATGTCAATGTGTAATTTAGGCATTGTTTAAATAGGCACGAAGGCATTTTTTCTACAACTTTTTAAAATATCATTGATTAAAACAGTATACAAACAGCAATCATTAGAATTGGTGAGTTCTCTCCCTACATATCCGTATAAACTGTAGGTATCCCCAACAACTAGCTAAGTACATGTACAGATGTATGGATTGCCTCCCAATGATATGATGATGTCTCTCTTGTCATAGAAAAAATATATTATTGTCATTTTACATATCCATTAAAAAACGTAACGTTAACAGAAGTTGAGGGCATGAATTTCATTTTATCTTCAATGTATACCAAACCTATCATTAAGTATCGAGTCAAAGACATTTGTGCAATTGATTCCGTCCAATTTAGGCATTAGTAGAATTTACCTGATGAAATAAGTGTAACAAAAATTTAATTTTTAAGTATTTTAAACTTCCTAAATTATGAATACATATTAATATTATCAACAAAAAATGATGTATAATGGCTATGGCATGTGGCATGCACAACTATATTCTTGCACACTCATACAACTGTGATTGTATTTGTTGTAATAAATGGTCGATCGAACGGGTACAACAATGAATGAAATTCCAATACCGTCCAAATTTTTGGACGATTCAAAAGTGCTTTTAACAAGCTTACTTGAATAAAGATATTTTCATTTCAATTCATTTAATTCCGTTAAGCCGTTGGTCCTGGCTCCCGACTCATCGATACACATTGGGCCCGCGTGATAACTCATGGCCCATTGATCCTATTCGATTCGGGTCAAATCAAAAAAGGAAGAATTCTCTATATATACTTTAACACGCAAACTAAATCGCGGGCACGGCTAGTAAGAGTTGAATTTTGATGAATTTACGATGGAAATGATTCTATGACATTTCATGAACTAACATACCCTTCAGCTTTATTATTAGTATATTGATTAAATTCATAAAACTTTGCAGATCATAATTTACTTCCTTGTTTATTAGTCTGTAAATACTTTTAGAGACAATTAAGATTATTTTGAGGTTCATATAATAAAGAGCAACCACAATCTGTTTGCCATGCCATGCCACCGGCCAAATGCGTCCTAGGCAATTGCCTATTTTTCCTATATAGACGAGCCGGCCTTAAAATTAATCTTATCCGCTGCATATTTTAAATATGAAAGTGATATTCATAAAGAATGATGCTAATTCAAATTGCTTGAAACTATGTGATTATGCGTGAGAGAGATATGAGTAATGTATGAGATGTATAAATATCTTGTTATCGTTTACCTTTTAGAATAATTTACGTACTTAATGTAAAATGTATTATTGCGTATTAAATATAAAAATACTAAATAATTAGTTTGTTTTCTTTTGATTTTTTCACCCTACACTTCGTAATGACGAAAATGAATAACTTTTAAAAATTAACTTCTTAAGCCTTAAATTAGCATTTAATGCTAATTTAAATAAACAGTTTTGGTGTATGGATCAACCCAATTGTTTGAGAGATTTGGATAGTCATTAGATATGTTTTATCTGTACATTTTATGCTCCAAGTGTCACGATTTGCTTACTTAAAATAATTTCGTTTTTATGAAATTACCCAAAATAATACAAAAAATAATTTGAATCGATCCGAAGGGGGATTCATAATATTAATTTTGTTTGTGAGGTTTGTATTTTGTTGACACTTGGAACGTGAGGTATATCGCTATAATGTCAATGGCTACTCTCCAAATCTCTCAAAAAAGTTGTCTCGGTCATGTACCAAATTAACTGTATACATTAGTTCATAACATCTGAATGAAATATTATTTCTCATAAAATATTGATAAATGAGGGACTTGTTGAGCAAAGAATTTATTTCAAAAACAGTGGCAGCGCTGCCAGTCTAACTGATACCAACAGCCCAGCCCAACACCTATGTAACTTGACTTTTTCTTCTTTCTAGGACTTAGGTACTTGATGAGCTAAGTACTTATTCCAAAATGCTAAAATAAACTAGCTCTTCAAAACCTCATTTTCATAAAACATCAGTAATTTGACTACGAAGAGTAACTACTTATTTAAGCCACGAGTCAGACTTCTATGTATGCTACATTTTACCAATCCATACATGCACAGATTATCATAGTACCTACCTACATAGTATTAACTCTTCCGCACAAGTAATGTAACAAAAATAACTGTTGTTCAGAATTATTAATATAGTTCTTGACAGCAGTCTGCTTTCTCTGAATGCCTAGGTGATTTGCCTTTCTAGTTTAAGACAGAGTCAAATGGTAATATTAGATACTAGAGTATATTAGATCTTAAAACCAGCCATAATACTTAATGTGCAAAAAATACGGGATTTCCATTTTTTTTCCAGGATTAATAAAAAAAAAACAAATTACTTACTTTTTATCAATACATATATAAAAGGAAAATATAGAAAAAAATAAATATTATGCTGCTCAAACTACACACGCGGACGAAGTCGCGGGCAAAAGCTAGTTTATATTTTTGTTGGATAAAATATAATGAAAAATGAATTAAAATCATTGTTTAATATGATTATTGATATGGTTTTTACTAAGTTGGAGATACATTTATTTCGTTCATCACCCCACTTTGATACCATTTGTGAAATCTGTTTGATATACGGGACGAGTCGGTCCCGGAGAGACATTTGAATTTATGCATGAAAAACATCGATCTTCCCACTAAAACCCAGCGGATTTCTCCATGTCGCGTTCAATGGGGTATACGTGAGCCCGTTTTTAGATTCATCCAAGCGCTAAGAGAAGTCTGTACCCAGCTGCGGGTAGCATATAGGCAATGAATGTGAATAAATGTAAATGTATAAACCCATGCTGTTGCTGCTGTTGTTACAAATGTTGAATAACTACACAAGTGGTTTATTAAAAATTAAATTGTGACGATTTTTACTGATTGGGCCCCAAAAAGAATTTGGCACGGGCCGCAGATTGTATAGTTATGCCAGTTTATAATCAAACTAGAATATTTAATTATACTTATTGGCTATGTACACTATGCAACGCCTATGTTTTTTAAAGTAGGTAGGTAATTAATCTCCGTTGGAACTCTTAAATCATGATAGTTCTTATTTTAATATTTATTTGATTACAGCTGAATACAGCATTACTATAGTATCTTAGTGATAAATGGAACATTATTTTTAGTCATTGCATTTAGAAAATACTTGTACCAATAAAGATAATAACAGAAGTAAATTATCAGAATGTAATTTTACTTTAATATATAACTAATATTGTTGGTTTGTTAAAAACAAACTGTTTCAAGACACTGTTGAAATCATTTATTTTAGTTTTCTATGTAATAAAAATCATGGTCTCATTATTTCAGAGGAAAGAAATATAAGAACACACCATGGTATGACAGATGACAGCTCACAATGTTTTTACTTTTAGCCACTACGAGCGCTGCCATAGATTGCGTAGTTGAATAGGGACTAACATTCATTTTTAGATGTTTTGCTACTGGACTTATGAGACACTGCTTGGTTTCTGCCTAAGCTGCAGATCCTAAACCAGTACAGTTCCAAGAGCAATAGTAAACCTAAATAGAAACTAATAATAGATAAAATTGTTTGAAAACACTTAGAATTTGCTTTCATGCCAGGATTCATGTTAAATCAAAAGACAGATGTTTGTTACTTTATTTAATTTGGTTGCTTGTTTACAATTTTGTATAATTGCATGATAAAGTGGTAATGAGTTAGTACTTAATCCTTGATCTTCTTCTTGGGGCGGAGGTTGTTAGTATGGCCACACTTGGTCTTACGGCAATTGGTAGCACGAGGATGAAGACGTGCATAGCACTTACGACAGATCATCTTTTCGCAGTTGTACTTCATAGCCAAAATACGCAGGGATGGTTCAATGGTACCTAAAGAAAAATAAATATGTACTTTGGCTCTTCATAATTCTTAAAAATAAATAGATTATAAAATTACTTACCTCCTCTAAGCCTAAGCACCAAGTGAAGAGTCGATTCTTTCTGAATATTATAATCGGAGAGAGTGCGGCCATCTTCTAGTTGTTTGCCAGCGAATATCAACCGTTGTTGGTCAGGAGGGATACCCTCTTTATCTTGGATCTTGGCTTTCACATTCTCGATGGTGTCGGAAGCCTCCACCTCAAGGGTGATGGTCTTCCCTGTTAAGGTTTTTACGAATATCTGCATCGTAAAACTGAAACGATAATAATTTAATTATAAAAATTTACAGAATTTTTATCTGACGGTCGTCTGAAAAATGAGAATCTAAAACAAATGCCACTCGTTTCTCGTTGACATATCCCGCCACGCGGATATTAATTTTAAAATAAGAACGTCACGAATGTCACCAAAATTACTACGTCCTTGAAGTAAACTGCACAAAACCTAATTTATATCATGCTTATTTATTTAGTCATTTTGTAGAGAAATATCTTGAATTGAAAATGACAAAAATTCCCAACCTTACCTTGCAAAACGTGCACAAAGAAGAACTGTCAAATTAAATTGTCAAATCTGAACAATAGACAAAAAGAAAAATAATAGGTTCGATCGACCAACGACGCGTGCGTGCTGTTTTATATGCTCTTAGCTCTATGCCACTATGCCTTCTACACAAGACCAAAGACTACAGTGTATAATAGGCAGGACTGCCAGCATAAGTGAACTTATTTATGTTCTTGTCCTAAGAAATTTATCAAATCGATAACCTATTTAACATCTATTAAATAAATAGTTAAATAAAATAGATGGTTGTTAAGTAGGTTATGAAATAAGTTACGAAGTCAATAAATTGTATTACAGAAGAGAAATTGAATTTAAATTTTATGTTTTGTATTTGTATCTGTGTAATGGAAAAAGCATTTTTAAAACAAATGAAAGTTATAAGTAAATGACAGACATTAGATATATTTATTTTTAGTAGAATAAACTTTACCTGTTGTAATAAGAATAATAACAGTTGTTTTTTTAGAATAATCACAATAACCAACAAAAATGCGTGATCTCAATACAATCCAACTCAATAAGAGTACTGGTCAATCAGTGTTTATTTTTTAACGGTATTGTTTTCAAATTTTAGGGTATTTAAAAACACAATACCATGACTTGAGTTTTTGAAGGATTAACTTTTATTCCGTAACACTTACTCCAATCACAGACAAACTCTAGGTCACGGTTAACAGTATTGATGGCAAAAGTTAGTTGGTCAGGAATAGCTTGGGAATAAAGGACCCCGCCCTTGCCTTATGGAAATTGGCTTTCTGTCAAATCGGATGAAACTATGATGAATGGATAGAGGAAGTCTTCCTGAGTAAAAGTCCTCATGGGCACTAAGCCCGAAAATCGAAACTTTTAGTACTTTTGGGCATTCGAAGTTTTTGATTTTGGATTCTAGCAAAATCAATAAATCCTTGTAGAATCGGCCCAAAGTTCAATTAGACATAAAAGAAAAAATACGTATCGAATATTTTTTCAAGACCTTTCGAACGACACCCTATTTGACCCCCCCCCCACTCCCCCACCTACGGGGGTGGAAGGGGAGCGGTTTTTTGCGAAAAAGTTCTTTTATAATGTTATAATGGCCTCATGATTGACGGAACACTTGAGCCGTGCCCGATCGACCCCCCCCCCCCTCACCCACCCACCACACGCGGGGGCGGAGGAAGAGAAGAGATAAAAGAACTTTTTCGCAAAAAACCGCTCCCCTTCCACCCCCGTAGGTGGGGGAGTGGGGGGGGGTCAAATAGGGTGTCGTTCGAAAGGTCTTGAAAAAATATTCGATACGTATTTTTTCTTTTATGTCTAATTGAACTTTGGGCCGATTCTACAAGGATTTATTGATTTTGCTAGAATCCAAAATCAAAAACTTCGAATGCCCAAAAGTACTAAAAGTTTCGATTTTCGGGCTTAGTGCCCATGAGGACTTTTACTCAGGAAGACTTCCTCTATCCATTCATCATAGTTTCATCCGATTTGACAGAAAGCCAATTTCCATAAGGCAAGGGCGGGGTCCTTTGTAGATCATCTGCATAAAGGTGACAGGAGATAGAACGCCACCCTGCGGCACCCCGGCAGAAATTTTGCACCAAGTGGAAAAGGAATCCTCAATGCGATATTCGCTGCCGGCGTCCAGTCAAGTAACTATGAAACCATTCAACCACTGCTGGAGGTATGTTAATAGAGCGTAATAAGTCAAGCAGAATATCAAAGTCAACGGTTGCAGCAGGTTATCTGCAGGTTATCTGCGCATTTCGCACAATTCTGTCAATGTCAAGTGAATTTAATATTTTTTACATCTTAAATGAAAATGAAATGAATGAAGTCGTAATCAACCTAGAAAAGTGAACAAGTTCAATGTATCAAAATTACGTATTCATATTTTATAATACTTATAGTACCGGGTATTATACGCGTTTTTTAAACTGACCTGCATCGACGTTTCGGCCGGGTTGCACCGGCCGTGGTCACGACGAGACTGGAACAGCAAGTTTACGCCTCTGCATCCGAGGATGAATCTTCTTCCCTCAGTTTTTTTATCAACTACCGTCACAAACAACACTAACAGTGTTTCTATTCCGCACTTGAGCCGTTTTCTGGAGATTTAACGATTGCGTAAAAAGCTGTCGTACTAATCATCGTGATTTTATAAAGATAAGCCTCCATTAAGATATCCAGTATCGATCGATATGGCCATACACGCAAAAAAACATCCCTGACCCGATAAAAATTGATCGATAAAAAAGTTAAACTCATCTTTCAGTAATATTAAATAAATTATATTTACTTATTATATTTTTTGGTTAATTCACAATGAGGAAATATTAAAAAAATAAGAAAGCACTTAAAAGCACCTCACTAGATGGCGACTTTAGCAAAAAATGATTTTTGCAGGAAATGAATGGACCAAAAATAGTCGTTCCTTTTAACTAAAAAACTGTAATTTGCAAAGTTCGAAACTTAGGTATCTATACAAAAACGAAAAAGTACAAATAGAATATGAATTGTCTATTGAGTTTTGGAACTTAATTTAATTTTATACATGAAAGAAAACCGGAAGAGTTTTCATGGAGATATGAAAAAAGTACCGTAGCGACATCTAGTTTGATTTTGGGAACTTTTTTTAAATACTTCCTTATTTCATTCACAATGATAAACTGAAACATATTCTTAATGAACAATGCTTAAAAAATTCACTTTGTCCCTAGAGCTCTTAGATGGGACTCGAACTCATGATCTTTTTATTCCGGGTGACTGCGCTAGCCACTGAGCTACCCAGGATCTAGCAGAACTAACGACTGACAAACAGCCGAAATAAATATTTTTACCAATATTTAAACTTTCGATAAAGATGAAAATTTGTTCTAATTATTATATTTGATCAATTTTGCGTTCACAATGCTATATTACAAAATATTCTAAATAAAAAATACTTAAGAAGTCCACTTTGTCCCATCCCATCCCATCTCAAAGTGCTAGGTGATTGTATTTCGTTTCAACCAACTAAATGGTATGTATAATGGACGATTAATACTTTTTATATTTTTAATAAACTTTGGAGATCAATGGTATTTTTAGTTTAAATTAATATGATATTGATATTATTTGAAAATAAATTATGGCATTCTATTTGTAGCTGAGTTTTGCTTCGTAGTTCCAACCTCACTTAAAAATACTCTAAATTCAATTATTCGACAAGGCAACCCTGTTAATATAAACTATGATAGCGTTCAAAATCATAGAATTCAATTATACTTCCTTAATATCCTGCTATTATTTAAAGAAATATAATTATACTATTTTATCAAAGAAATGATTGGATTTGATCTACCTATATAAATAACGACAGCCGGCATTTTTTTTTCTAGAAATAAGTAAAACGAACAAAAAATAATGTCATTTTCTGTTTAAAAAATATTTGTTTCTGAACGCGATTAGATATCGCAAAAGTACTTGTTTCGTAACACCTCGATTTTCAGCACTAATTCTAATTCAGATTTACTCTTAAAAATGTATCATCAACTCAGCAAATTATCTGGTCGTTTAGTAGCTGCAACAAATTTGCAGTCGCCGCTGTTCCCTGTGGTAAATGAGAACGTTTTCTAGTGTTTTTGGGTGGTACCTGGGCACCTTATCTTACTTAGGTTTTTTTAGTTCTATTTTCAAAAATCTACTTTATCAATAGCTTTTAAAGGTATCTGTTTATTATCTTTAGAATTAATTAACCGCAAGAAGACATTGTTACCTTAAGCACATAAAAGTAGGCAATTTATCTTTATTCCTAAGAAATCAAATAACATGAGCAAAGGTTATAAGTTTTAGTTAAAACGCTTTTTTACGACTTATGGTTTCATCATCATCATCATCATCATCAGCCGTAAGACGCCCACTGCTGAGCAGATGGTTTAATGCTAAACAATTAAAAATTTAATACAGGTACCAATTGCTCTGCAACGAGCGGAACCCCCACAGATCCAATATACAACTGCACAGCTGTCCACGGTGACAGAAGCTGGTGCTTGTGCTGCAGGTCCCAGGAGGACCATTCCTGGCACCAACATCCCCTACCCACCTGTTCCAGAGTCGATTCGTAAGCAACAAGAACAATTCCAGGTATATGCATTATTGATTGTGATCAAAATGCTTTAAAATTTACTCATTGCATCCTTGATGCAACATAATCATCATTAACAACGGGAAAATCAATGCGATTTCAATAAATCTACTGTTGCTGAGGAGAGAAGTGTTAAACGATAGTTGGTGTTGGATTAAGCCAGGGTGTCGCCTGTGGCAAATTTTTAAAGGGCCCTTGGTTTGGTTGAGATTAGAATTTAATCTCAACCATTAGATGTAAAATTGAAGTAAAACAAAATTCTTACAATTACACTTTTCTTGATTAGTTACATTTCATTATAAAAGTAACCGCCAATACCACTATTCAGACTAAATTTGAACTTAAAATATGAGTATCAACATATATCATCTTGTTTTTCAAGTTTGACAACAAAATTATGGTTAGTTATGTTTTAAGGCTTTTATAAAATTTATGGGCGGAATAGCTAAATCAGCATCAATAAAGTTGCAAACGTTGAAAAGTTGTCCTTTACTTTCTGAATAACACAACAAACTGTATAATCTGTGAATTGAATTTTATATGCCAGTTTATGTTTACATTAAAAATATGATTTCCTGCATTGTTTTCAAATTGATGGAAAAATTTATTTATTGTATTTGATCAATTTTGCATTCATGCTCAAAAATATTCTAAATGAAAAGTGCTTAAAAAATCCACTTTGTCTCTGGCACTCTGAGATTGGACTCAAACCAATGACCTTTCACAATCTGTGCAAATTGTGCAAGGCCTGTAGCATTTGCTACTTTTGCTATGTGGCTAATCTGGCACTGGCAATTGTTAATATTAAATGCATACATTACTCTGAAGTAATGCCAAGAAAGAGAAAAGCTGAGATTAATGAAACATTGGAAATTCCATTTATAGGTGACGATATAAAGCTCATTTCAAACTAATAATTTTAAATGATCAGAGAATAGCTAACGACTCAACATAAAAAGACTTGAAACTATTACTTTCAGAAAGAAGATGATGTTCCTGTATTCCTGAAGGGTGGCCCTATGGATGGTATCTTATACCGTCTAACCATGGCTCTCTGCATTGTAGGACTCATTGGTGTTGGACACACTGTCTACATTCATGCTGTTCCTAAGAAGTAAACATTGTAATTTATTTACTAGTTATTAGTTGATGTTATAAGATTCAAGTGCTGTAATAAAACATTATAATCAAGGTGCAAATCTAAATTTTTGTATTTTATTTCATCGTATCAACGTACCTTTACCCTAAATTTTATTTTTTTCAAATGGAGCGTTGACCCTTTGAAAAAAGTTAAATTCAAAAAGTGAAGTCATGGAAATTTTCATACAACTACCTATTTTTAACAGACTTCAGAATAAAAAAAGGAGGATTTCATATTTTCGACGCAGTTTTTTTATGTATTGTATATCGGCAACTTGATTGACCGAGGTGGTCCCATTTAAATTTGATCGAAATCAAATCAGTAGTTTTTCTTTCATAAAAAGAAACAAAATACGCTTTTCAACAGATATCAACTAAATATTTAGATATGTGACATGGCCCATTTTAGCTGAAAAACAACATTGCGTATTTCAAAATCCGAAAGGAGGATTTTCTATGTTCAAAGATTACGTATATTTTTTATGAAAGAATGTTTATTTCTTGAATTGTGAACCAAGTTTCTATCAAACTAGCTGTTTTCCTGCGATTTTGCCTGCTTAAATTATAGCCTATCATTTAATCAATAAGCTACAGAAGACCTACGCTCGACTGTAACTTTATTAAAGTTTAAAATCTATTCTATTTTTTTGAGAAAAGTTTTTATTTCCTTTTTGTATCTATTAGGTTTAAAATAAAATGCATAATTTCAACATTTCTTTTTATTCTGCATATAATATAGAACACACTGGCCGTTACTATGGGTGTTCGAATCAATATATTGCAACATTCTTTCAACACAGCACTACAATCAACTACATAATATATCTTTACATATTGCGATGGTGAGCCCTTAGCTATAAAATATTTACGAGTTTTATATATTCATTTCCGAGGACAATAATAAGCAGGTAAAATAAATACCCTTTCAGTTTAGATAATGTGTAAAAAGGGATTCTATTTATCATTATGTATTTGACAATTATAATGGAGGAAACCTGTTTCCTCTTATCTTAATAGGTGTCATTTATACTATTAGGTACAAACGTCGTTTAATAACGAAAAATTTAAACAGGTACATAAAATATGCTAAGAATTTTTGTCTACTAATAACTCACAATTTATTGACATACATAAGACCCTCAAACTCGGTGTGCCTGTTACCTTGACGTTCACAACATAATACATAGTTTAGTCTGGATTTAATGGCAAATGCCTAAGATTACTGCTAAGCATACTTGCTTTACTAAAGCATACAAAGTATGCTTAGCAGTAAAGCAAGGTAAGCACAACATGTGTGATTTCCTGAATCGAATTTAAACTTTACAGTCAACAGAATAAAGTTTTAAATTTTACTGCGAAGAATAATCGCGTAGCTTCGTACCTATCACAGTATAATCAATGCAGTAGAACAAACAAAATACTGAACTTTAGAGTATACACAATTTGGCCGTAATTTTGTTTTCAAAATAGCTACTCTACAAATAAATATTTAAATCGAAGTCCGACATTAATAGAAACAAACGTTTCCGACATACGTAATTAAAACGGTCTCCGGTGTTATGTATAATAAATTAATGATATACATTTTATAAATACAATTGATTCACATACTTAATAAGCAGCAGCAAAAAAAAAAAAAAATTAGCGAATCGTCACTATTAATTAAAGACTACAAATTTGGGTATATAATAATAGTAAAAAAAGCTGCTCTGAACTTTCCTGGGGTTTAAATCCATTAAATACTTAGATCATGTATAGATCACAATAACTCTGTAGTTAAAAATGTTTTTGGTTAAATACTTTCAAAGTCTTTGTCCACATTTTTACTACAAAAGCGACTTCTTCACCAGGTGATGATCTGCAGTGGTAATTCTGTAATAAATTCAGCCTCGAATTCGACAACTAGGACAGCGTTATCACAGGATAAGTTAGAAGTAAATTTTATAACAAAATAGTGTAGCAGTCACCGAATACATTAAATTGTCAAGGGAAAATAATTCGAAATTAATTTAGAACAGTTTGCATGGCAGTTTAATATAATATGGATATGATGCGACTAAAATTGTATGATAATTCAAAACCTTTCTAAGTTTTGTATTTTACCCTGACATAAAGATACACAATCTAAAAATCTATTTAGAAAAAAAACATAGAAATAACACTGAAGCTTGTGTTTGATTATGCTAAAAGTAAATAAAATAAGCCCTGTTTCAGTTGTTTTAGAAAATGCTTAACACAGCCATAAAATCTAATTATAAACCATAATTACATTCAAATAACCATACGTTATTTTAACAGAAATAATAAATTGTTTCATTTACAAGTTACCATGCATACATCATCTACGTTTGTGTTAAATCTATAAATATTAATAATAAAATAAATAACATTTCATTCTAAGCTATTATCTAAAATTCGATAACAATGAATATTTTGTTCGATGCCCAATACAATGTACCTATGAATTATAGGATAAAAATTAATATTACTACATAATCAAAGCTTTATCTACTTAACATTATCCATTTATTACGCATAGCGATTTTAGCCTGTACTTGACCCTTCCTCTGAATGTAAAAAAAATAAGAATCGGTTAATCATACCCCGTTAAATTATTAAGTATAATTATAAATATAATTATAAGAATTTAAAGGAGAAACGAATATAATTTTATTGAATGATCGTTTTTTTGTTGATTTTCCCATATGAATCTTAACAATGTTACCATTGCTTGTTGTTGTTCTTGTGGTCTTACGTAAAAACTATCAAATTGAAGTCTTGTAAAAAAAAACGCCGTTGTAACGTACCCCATCAATCAACTAACGTAATAAATGCGTGCCGTTTAATCAGAATTAATACTCGACACTAAATTGACAGAAAGAGCCGGTTATAACCATGCATGTGAAATGTTATACTACACAATAACAGTCAATAGACATCAACCTTTTGACAAATGCAATTAATTAATTTTGCTAAGTACGCATAAAAATATGACAGGAAAACCAATCTGCGGAGCGATTCTGTAAAAATCCGAACCCGAAATCGAATTCACTTATGTGTTCGATTTTATTTGTGTCCGAATTCAGGTAATTTAATGAAGAATCTATTAGTTCCACTTTTTGTATAAAAATACAAAACAGAATTGATTTCAAAACTCACTTCACTTATGCAACGAAACGTTATTACCGATTCAAGATTGACCGGATGCCGCTTTTTCAAGTGAATTCTGGTTTGCATTTTTACAGAATCGCAGGGCAGTTAAGCACCAAGTCATAAAATACTTAACATTTCAGAAAAAATATTTATAACTTTAACTAAAGATATGGTTGACTTGTTTTGTGAACTACACTCAATCAACATTAAAAGATCAACGTGAATAATGTTATATTAAAAATTATTATTAACTTATACATTAACTTTGTAATACAAATCATTGTAAACATAGGCATTTAAATAATAATAATTTTAAAATTAACGTCGCCTTTTGGGGCTCTGCCGTCTCTGCCAATACCAGAAGGAATCTAGCATTAAGATATATACAAATATAAATACTACCTAGATAAAATACAGAAAGCCCAAAATACAAAGCAATTACATTCGTGATTTAAGTCTCTATGTAGTATATACAACAAAAACATGATTAACAAGTAACAATCCTTAAATATGCATTGATTAATAAACTTTGACTATCAAAAAAATATTGAGAACCATAGAAAAAGATTTTTATTTATAAACTAGCCACATAACACTATAAGGTACAATATATCCAAAACAAATATTCTAATAATGAGATTTTGGTTTGGTTATCATGGAAAGTTAATCTCTCAAACAATCTATTTTTTATCTAATCAGCACACACCAGCTATTATATAGCACAGACACAGTTTTGAGAACAAAAACGTTATGCTTATTAAGAGATATGGATGTGTCTTAATTTACAAAGGATACAAATGCTACAAATGCAAATTGCAAACTTTAAGTGGTCGGTCGGGGCCTTGCCGGTAATGGAGGTGGGGCCCCTTGTCTTGCTGGAACGGGTGGAGGTGGGCCCCCGAGTGATGGGGTGTTATTGGCTGGTAGCGGTGGTGGAGCACAAGATGGCGGCGGCGGCGGTGCGCAAGATGGCGGTGGCACGTTATCAGCTGGTGGTGATGAAAGCTGTGACGGTGGCGATGACATCTGTAAGGGCGGCGATGACTGTTGTGACGATGGTGATGACAACTGTGATGGTCCAGCTGTTTTCCCAGTGTCAGGTGGAAGCGGTGCAGGTCTTGGGGGTGGTGGCCGAGCCGGACTCAACGGAGGAGCTGGAGCTCTCGACGGAACCAAAGGTGTTGGTGAAGGTGCAGGTGGCCTACTGGGCTGGGTTCGGCGTGGCGTAGGAGGAGCCGATCTCAGTGGCCGGTCTGACTGAACTTCGCCAAATAGCGGCATTGTGTTGTTGGAGCATAAATTTATTTCTGAACGTACTATATCAACCCAGTTGGGTGATTTCAAAGTTATAGATAATGGTATAGAACAGACATACATTTGACCTTTTTGCGCCGCAGCTAAGGCGTTCTGCCCTTCTCGAAATGTTATACTCAGTGTATGGTCGTCAATGAATCGAACTAGAGTTACTTCACCGATTGTAGCCAACTCTTGCAATACAGCTGCCATTACGTTATCATCAAATACCGATTCGTCACTATCTACTTCATCAAATGGTTGCACAATAATACTTGCATCTGGTGGGCCTAGGTCTTTCACAACTTCGTAAAATACATCCATGCATTTTGTGTTACTAACTTGCAATACTTCGATTTCTAAAATAGCTATCACTGGACGATGATCACTCTGCTTCAATTCGGCTCTGCCGTAATGAAGTAACTTCCCGACTGCCAACTCTGACGTTGTTTCTGGGTCAATAGTATATTTTCTACTTCTCCAAAGTACTCTGTCGGTCCAAGCAGGAGCGCGACATTTCTCACTGGTATCGTAATCATCGCTAAAGAGATCGTATTTGTATGTAGGCGGAAAAGTTATTTCACCTTCAAAACAGTTTTTGAAAACTAATCCTTGAGCTTTTTGTTGAATTAGTTGATCTTGTTCAAGTAGGCGTTGCATGTTATTTTGTGCTACTAAAGAGCGTACTTCGTCCTTATCAAGGTCAATACGATAATTAAAATCACCACACCAAAATACATAATCATGCGAGTACAGTGATCTGCCCATTGGGAACGCAATTTTTCTCGTGATTTCAGTATAGTCGGCATTACGTTCAGCAACTTGTGACTGGCCAGCAGCAAAATGAGCACATACAAAACAGATAGATGTACCGTAAATAACCATACGAATGCCAACCGCCCCTTTATTGCCAGTAGTTCCTCCCAGGCCTGTTTTAACAGAATCAAGAGCAACATCCCGTATATGGGGAATTAAATCTTTCCTCACAAACACAAATAGACACACTCCAACTAATTGATGACTTGATAGTAGAGTATAGGGAGCATCACGACATAGCACCTTCTCCAGCTCCTCACTCCAGGCTTTAGCATTATCTGAGCTAGCTGCCATTATATTACTAGCATTCAAATCCACTATTTCCTCAAATCCTATAGCAAAAATATCTGAAGGATGATCTTTAAGATTCATTGTATTGACAAGGGAAGAATTAGGACAATCTAATAACCAGTCGGCTAAAGAAACATCTTTGTAAGCTAAACTTCTGAAATGTTTGCCTCCATTGACATTATAAGTTCCAATTGTGATATGAATGCTAGATGGCTGAGTGAATTCATTCGCTCGACGACACATTTCTCTGAGGATGGGTGTTGATGTATGTAGAATATTTGCAGGCAATAATATTCTTGTACGATCAGCAAGTTCAGAATTCAATGTAGAACCAAGTAATAATATATCAATAGCCTCTTGCTTTGAATTATCCAACAAATTGTTTTGAATAGTTCGAGCAGCAGATCTTGCTCCATCTATCAATTTAGATCCACCTTGAATAGCACCAGTTCCAGCATAAATTTTCGAAATTTCATTGCCATTGTTGACCCACATTTGTTTAAATACTTCCTCAAACCTATTAACATTTTGCTTCTTATCAATGCATTGCAACAACATCAGTTGTACTGCTAACATTTCCAAGCCTATAAAAGTCTGTATTGAATTGGTTCTATCCAAGCAATCTAGGCAATTCGTACGGATGACTCCTTTTTGAATATTGTAGATATCTATTCCTTTACTACTAAAAATGCTAATGTCTTCATAGTGTTTGTCTACAATTTTTTTGAATTTAGCTAATGCATTTTCTATAGATGTTGCTCTAACTTCTTGGTGATAATCAAATATAATCTGCACAACATCAGCATGAGCAGATTCATTGAGATGCTTTTGGAATGCATTACTAAGGGTTGCTTCACCCTCACTTCCTCCAATCAGACTTGAACCCAAGAGATTCACTACATACACAGACCCATAGTTACGTTTCAAAAGAGAGAAATGTCTGTCACAAGCACTAGTAGATGCATCATATCCTCTAGACATCTTTACTTTATGAGAACCAACTTGGATGCCAGGTTGTTCCCAAAAAAGTGGAACTGATCCACGAGTTTGTATATAAGAAGTGACTGAGTCATCAATGTAAATAGCTTGTTCAGTTTCAACAAAGTTTGCAACATTGCCATTGTCATTGCAACCTCGCACATTGAATCTTGTTCCAGCTCTTTCACAACTTAAACGTGACAAAAGCACAGCTCTGGCTTGGCGATGACCAACATAAATAGTGCGAATTTCCACAGAACCACACATTGCTCTAGTAAGCCAGTCATCACAGTCTATTCCAAACCTTATCAAATGGATATATAAAGTTCTATTCCAGAAAAATCTATTATCAGGGATAGCACTTTTGCTTTTCCTTTGAGCACAAAGTGTGAGATCAAAAAGATTGTCATTGTTTTTACTAGTATTCCAAGAGAAGTAGAAAGTCCCAGAATTTAGAAGTTTTCGTACCTCTGCAACTTTGTCTTCGCCTTGCGATTGGTAAAACAACGGTAAAAATTGTGTTTGTGTAATTTTGAAAACTTCCACATCTCCAACCTTACCGACAGAACAGCAGCCCGTGACGAGAACGAGATACAGCAAGCAGGTGTCACCAGAGTTAAGTTGGAGAACGCCGAGGCAACCATATGCATCAGCAATCTTGTGGTATTGCTTCCTCAAGGTTTCTGTTTCTTGTGATGAAAGAGCAACCACTGCTTGAGACTCGAATAACAGGGCACTATCTTTATTTCTGTGTTGAAGTATTATACTATAGGGATTTGGCGGCGATGACTTTTCTAGAACTTTAAACCCTTTAGACATAGCCATGGCTGTTTCCTGTATCAATGTTACATCCAGGTAATAGCCATCCGCCCCCGTTTTCGATAAAAGGTTTAATTTCACGGAGATAATCGACCACTAACCATATCACTAAATGTCAAACTGCTATAGTAGTGATGTGATGTTTACTTCATAATTCGTGTTGAATCGGGTATACAATCATAAATATGATCTTTAATTATAAACTCGAAAGTAAGGTAAGTAAATGTGTGTTAAATACTATGTAATTCAACACATTACGGTTAAGTAAGCGGGTGTTTTTTTCGGAAATTTAACTTCCGCTTTGATTCATCCGTCATTATTGTTCTTCAAAAAAATAATATCATCTGATTTATACCTATATATATTTTTAAATCGGTGACATCAGTCTGTTACGATATTGGATTATATATAGATTTTAAAATAAAAAAAAAAAATCTATCAAGAATCATTATTTTTCAAAAACAATAATGATGGATGTATCAAACTGGAAGTTGAATTTCTGAAGAAACACCCAAGCGTTGTTTAAATATAAATGGATACTTAGATAAAAATGCGTGATAGCGTGTATTATTAATTTACAGAACAGGATCTATAATAATGGAAAGCTCTTTTTAATATTAACTTTATGTCACTCCTAAAATATAGATAATATTACAACCAGTTTTTCAGGTAGATAATATAATAAATAAACTGCATATAAAACTAGAACGTATTCATCTAGGAGGGAATCATTGCGTTTGATAATTTGGGTAGGTTACAAATAACATTAAAAGTATCCTAGAAACCATCTTAAAACTGTTATATATTGTGTGTTTCCTTTCGTCTCCATTCACATGGACCATGCACGGGCCGATGAATCGAGTAAAACATGATTCGGATGAATAATGTTTTAATCGAGGCGCACCACTGATAACATAAAAACAGGGTTACCATTACCACAGTACAAATAAACATTAATTTACAGTTTTCACATTTCTTTGGGAAATTTGTCCAAATGGCAAATGATGGTAAAAATCGGAATCCGGAAGTTCATTCGATATGATAGCTACTTTTCCGAAATTATTAGGCTAATAGCTTTTAAAACTAAACATTTATAACCTGGTATTTACGCATTGTTATGTAGATGTATTTTATGAATCGTTCACATAATATATTCAGAGCTAATTTAATTAAATACATCTACAGGCTAAGGATATCGTAGAATTAAAACGTATAAAAAGGATAGGTTTTTTTTATAGATTCCTTTGTAAAGTAGTTAATTTTTTATAAGTTGTAATTCTACAGAACTCGCACTCGGCTGGGTTTCCTCAACGTTACTTAGGAACTTTACATGTGGGTATATAATGAAAAAGCGATAGTAGGTATGATTTTCGATTTTTTTTTCTTACAGTAGCTAACAATAATATACAATTTGATCAACTTAATAAAGAATAAATTATTGTTTTAGTTTCAAATATCAGGACTTAACGGTCAAATTTTTTCATCGAAATGTATTTTAGGCAATGACATTTGTTTTCTACAAAAACCCTAGTGTGATGCACACAGTTGCAAATCAGCGTTGCATTAAAAGTGACCTTGCTTGTTGTTAGAACAAGTGTTTTACAACATAGTAGCAGATATAACCAAGGCACCTGTATTGTAAGTTGTTTTAAAATCTCATTCGTCTCCGTCTGCGTTATGAGTTATGCAGGGTCAAAGGTCAACATTTATTATGTGTTAATACGTTATTACGTAAGGCGGATAGCACTGAGGTGTCCGTATATGTTTGTATTACTCTTGTTTAAGCTAGAAAAACTGCAGTTCTGTCTGTTTTGTGACTCATTTTAGATCTTGCAGGTATAGTATTGCATATAGTTGAGCTTATTATTTGATAAGGGGCATTTTTGCACTATTATACCAGTCAACCTTATTGTATTGTCACGACGTGCAAGACTAGTGTTTGAGCTCACACAGGACATCTACATCACATTTTAATTCTAACTATAGACTGAAGTTAATATAATTTTTATATTGAGCTAATGAAGCTGGAGGTACGATGATATGACCCGAGCTACGTTTCACATAGTCTTGGTACACTTCTTTGGAAGCCTTGGAGACGGTGGGTGGGATCACGTCCACTGAACTGTCTATTGTAAATGCACTGCTAACCGTCATCACCACGTGAATATCAGATTTGTATTTTGAATTCGAACGTCGCTCGAAATTCACGTAACGCTTGTACCTAAAATATAAATGTACAGAAAGGTCAAGTCATTCTTTTCAAACTATACAAAAAAATAGAATTAAGAATGAGGATGACCATATTTCTTTAATTTTTGTTAGTAAAAATTAAAGGTAAATGGATTGACTTTATCATATGTTTAATGCATGCAATTTTTGGTTTAATTTAAAGTAACGAAGGTTAAAATATCAGCATGCAATTAAGCCCAGTCAAGCACAAAAAGGCGTCAATCTCGTAATAAGTGACTAAGACCCTTGACCTTAAATAGGTTTAACACGGACACGAGATTTTGTGAGACAACGTTTTAAACGCCTGTTATCATCATTTCGAGATTTTGACTGGGTTCATTAATAAAGACATGCATAACAAAAAGGACTTTAATATTTTTGTAATATGAAATGAGAATATTATTTTTTTCGAATTAGAGAAAGTCAAAAAATTAAGCATGACCCAGCTTTATTTTTTATGCGGCCCTACATAGTACGGAACATCTTACATTTGCATATCCCTCTTCCCGGGTTCTTTGAGTAATATCCTATTGGATCGCTTGATGGCTGGGAACATAGGAGTATCTTCAGGTTCTTCGGCCGATAGTATTTTAGTTGCCAAGGCGAGTGGTGACGGGGTAACTTGACGACTTGGAGTAGGACTAGTCATGTCATCGTCTGACGATGAATCACTATTGGAACTAAAAATAGACAAAAACATGAGACTATTCACAATATTTCAAAAATATTTTGAAATTAAAGTATAAAAATACATGTCTATATAAATAAAAAATTCGCAAATATACAAGAACGAATATATCTTATATTTCAATTTTCCATTAATGTCCGCTATATTATGACCAGTGGTCGGAATTAGGTAGAGTTATTTATGTACTTACACTGATTTCATACAGCGAAAGAATAAAGTGGATATGCCTCAAATCCCGAGATTAATTTTAAAGAGCAGAAAAAATCCCGTGATTTTTTAAATAAAAAGTTATTTGCTTTTACACAATTTAAACCACTGCATGCACGACGTTGCCAAACTTACATCAATGACATCGGATGTCCAAAGTTGCAAAATACCAATACGCGCGATGTTGCCACGAAGGTCCACATTAATATCAACATTTCGATACAAGTACATAAATAACTCTACCTAATTCCGACCTCTGATTATGACGTCACTCTTTTGTATAATATTTTACAGCAATACATCGACTATGTGGTTTAAGTTCACATTTAAATTTTTTAAATTGTAAATATGTTGTGATGTAGACTATCTTGAGCAAATGACACTGACAGCTGCCATATTGGTATGACCCCTGCTCACGTAGCATGATAAAATCGAGAAACGCTCTGTTTACACGGAATTTACATTTTTTGCCGGGTCGAAAGTGAGATATCGTATGGGCGCACCCGAGAAAAGTGACATTTGGGTGTAGACAAAATATTCTCGAGTTCTTCACACTACGCGGATTTGTCTAGTGCAGTGGTTCAGTCATTAGGGAACATTTGGCAAGTTTTTATCTGGGCAAGGACTACGCGTTGGTGTATTATTTAGTACCTAAATGTAAATAAGAAGATTTTCTATGAATATATAATAAAATCTCCTCTCCACGGACTAATTGGGATACTTTTAGGGAACCAATTGTCTGATGACCATCGGTCATAAACCACTGGTCAAGTGTTAAATCGTATACTTGTCTGTCCTGATGTTTCGCGACCGATAAGACGTGACGTAATTTTGTTTATTGCGTTGTCTCGATTCTATTCCTAACACCCTTACATTTTTTTTTATTGTTAATAATATGTTTTTGAATACTCACTCGCTTGAATTATTGGAAGTTGTACTGGATCTACCGTTTATGATGGGGTTTTTTGATGATGGACCTTTGCTCTGGCCCATTCGTCCACGTACTACAAATGGACTGTAGTTTTCTGACAGCGACGGTGCGAGGTCGCGTAACGTATGACACATCTAAAATAAAGAAAATTCAATACTGCGTAATGTCATTGTCTCCTTTCGATCTGGGACTTAAAAATATTTTAATGTTATTTTAAATTAATTATTGGGATAAGATATACCCATAAATTAGTATTTATTCTTTAATCCAACTTTAAAATAACCTTTAATTTTGACGCCAAAATGCGGCAGTTTGATCTATGACATAACTGATATTTGAATTTGATATTTAAATGTCATACTTAAAGTAATATTTTTATATTCTTGATGAAAAATGACGACTTAGAGCAGTCGCCCGAACTGCGAAAGGCCATGGGTTCGAATCCCATCTCAGAGTACCAAGGACAAAGTGGATTTTTTAAATCTTTTTTCATTGGGATTTTTTTTAGTATATTGTGAATGCGAAATTGCTAAAATGTAATAATTAGATTTTTTTTCAGCTTTATCTAAAATTTAAATTGTATAAATATTTCTTTCGGCTGTTTGGGTGGATTGCCTGAATACTGGTGAAAATACGCTCTGTAGTAGCGAAAAAGTAACAAGTGCTTGAAAAATCCGTCAGTCCTGTTAGGTCCTGGGTAGCTCAATGTTTAGAGTAGTCGCCTGGATTACGAAAGGTCATGGGTTCGAATCCCATCTCAGAGTGTCATGGACAAAGTGGGCTTTTTTAGCATTTTTCACTAAGAATATTTTTCAGTATAGCATTGTGAATGCAAAAATGATCAAATATAATAATATTTTTATGTTATTATTTGTATTATCATTAATTAATGATGTTATCTTGAATTGGTAATAACTAATAACGTTTCATGGTATAAGTAAAGTGAGTTTCGCAATTACAAAGGAATTGAATATCTGAGACACGTATAATCCTTCAATTTGGTTTTATATATTATAAAAAAAAAATGGAATTAATAGAATTTCTTCACAAAATGATGTGACTTCGGATTTCAACAGAATTGCTACGTTGATCGGTTTGATTCGATTTATTCAAAATTAACTCACGTGTCTATTGTCAATGCTGTCATTTTTACAAGATTTACTACTTTACCTCTACTAAAAAGTAAGAGATGGCGTTGAAGAAACTGTTTTACGACTTCGAAACCGTTGTTTAATTTCATTTCGTTTAATTATGTTTTTTGTATGAAGCTACGGCAGATACATTTTAACAGTTATCTTTTTATTCGCGAAGAAATCGAATCGAAGAAACTTACATAAAAAAAATAGTTTTGGAACGCGGCGACTCGGCCCATCACAGAAATTGTTGAGGTGTTCCAGCACCCCTAATTCTCTAACCAATATTCTAGCCGTAGGATACGATATCATACCGATGTAATGCCGATATTTCGTTTCATGTTACTACAGAATCGCTCTGCTGATCGTTCAAGATAGTCACATGAAACGAAATATCGTCATAACATCGATAAGATGTCGTATTCTATAGCTAGAATCAAGGCTAGAGAGTTATGCAGTCGCTCTGCTGACCTCTCCCATTGGTACTGAGTGTCATACCCTTAGTATTACAACATACTGAAATATCAAGCTATAGAAAACATGCATATTTTTGTCTGTCTAATAGAACCGCCTCGTTTGGAATTTTTATAATCTGCGAAAAATAAACATTACCTTAAGTTCAAAGCACTCTGATAACACTGTGTATTCGAACGGTCTGTTGTAGTCGTGATATGGATCAATCATCTCTACCAGACTGCCGCTGTCTCCTTGCACGCCGATGATCTCGCAACACAACTTCCTCATCTCATTGCACGCCACTGGGAGATGTCGAACCACGTCGTCGTCCCACCATTTGGTTAGTGACCTGCGTGTTTTATCAAAAATTATAGTTAAATATCATCCATTTTCATAAATAACACTAAAGGATATATACGCTTACAGTATTATTAATAAACAAGGTTTAGCGTCGGAGTAAATTTACGCTGAGGCTGCACTTAGTATTAGTCAAAATTCATATTATTAAACAGAGACTTGGCAACGGTTACCCTAGTACGAGGTTCTGCGGGGGTAGTATTTAGGTTTGCTTATTGACTATATAATATGAATTTGGACTAAAACTGAAATTGCTATTTTAGCGTAAATTTACTCTGCTAGCACTGTCAGTTTATAAATTACCTTTCATTATAAAAATAAACGCTATATAAAACATCAGCTGCAAACTTACTCGAAATGCGTCCTGTATCATCATCACTAGCCCTTTTACGTCCCCACTGCAGGGGCTCAGGCCTTCCTTATGGATGGTTAAGGAGGATGGGCCATGACCCTCCACGCTGGCCCAATGCGTATTGGAGGGTATTAACGACTGCAAATGCAGCCGGGACCAACGGCTTAACGTGTCTTCCGAAGCACGGAGTAGCTCGAGATAATAATTTTTTGGTCACCCATCCCGTGACCGACCCTTGCGAATGTTGCTTAACGACTACGATCGCGGGCCGCGGCGCTTATCCACTACGCCACCGCGTCCTGTATAGACATATAGAAATGTTAACCAAATCCAACTTTTGTGTAATCGAATTAAGACTCAATTTGTATAAATAATGAATACAATACAATACGTAACAGTTGGAAGAAATTCTAACATTAATGCAAAGCTTAATGTTATATCTAGAAAGGGGGACGGGACACTAAGGTAAAATCATAATAATATATTACAGTTAAAAAAAGGTTCCAGAAAGGCTACGATAGAACGTATTTCAACAGTACGTCAAGTTAAACAAAACTGTCAAATTTCTCTATTCAATTTTAAACCTTAATGCCTTGCATATTATGGTATTTTAACATCCAGCTGAGTGACATGAAGCGCAATATTAAGTTTGCGCCCGATTGGAAAACCGGGCTTGATAAAATAACTAAATTTAAAACATTATCTCAAAGCAAAAAAAAATCTTTAAAGCTAATAAAAAAAAACTTTGTTTATTAGTAGTAATTATTACCACAAACTGCAAACTCACTTGTTTCTAGGTATAAACACTATAGCTTCAGGATGATGTAAGTAGTAATCGTTCTGGTACTCCCATATCTGAGGCCTTTGCGGTTCTGGTATGAAGAGGCCGAGAAACAAATTCATACTATTCTGTTTTTCGGCATCGGAAAATGTGTTCGAGTAGTAACGGCTCAGTGTCTGCATAATGTCATTGCCATGCGACGCCCATGGAGCTGTTTTGCGGTAAGTTTTTATCCTGTAACACGTAATCTATACATAAAAAGTATAAAATAAAGTCGCTTCCCGCTGTCTGTATGTTGAGATCTTTTAAACTACACAACGAATCTTAAAGCGGGTATATAGTGATTCAAGAGGAAAGTTTAAAATCATAAAATACAAAATTGATCATATTGATAAATGATTATATTTTGTAACATTCACCCAGGATTGAAGATTATATGTTGTAATCAATTTTTTAATAATTCATTAAATATAAATCTTATATCAAAGCATAGGATTACAATACATAAACTCCAATGCAGAATAAACATTAATCAGGATTAGACTTTGCCCATCCCTGATTATGAATCACCAATATTTAAGTAAATTGAAAACGCCTTACCGGTGCACTAATTGTGATCCTCCATATTGTAATGCTAACGTGTCACCGTGATCTTCGTATAAGCCTTCCAATAGTCTAACACAATCAGAGTCAAATTCGATCACTGGTTCTCCAATAAGTCCAAGAGCAAATAACTGAAAAGAGACAGAGATACTTATAAGAAACTATATATTTACACGTTTGTTTTTACCCGACTGCAAAAGAAATAAAGATAAATTGGCCACATAGATATAATTATAATTTAAAATATAAATATACATTTATTAAAGAGTGGTGCTCAATCAGAACTCTGCCTCGGCATAAGCCATACCAGTGTAGATTACCCTGTTACGGCGCTGGTTATCCTGGCAGAGCCAGTGTAGACGGTTGACGTTAAAGTTGAGGAGTGGGGGTCGCTACGTCACAATTTTGTAGAAAATGTCCAAAAGGGTGACATCATGTGAAATTTTCAATGTCTCGACGTAATTTATATATTAATATACGTGTCTAATATTTTTCAACAATCTACCTGATGGATAAACAAATATTTGTCGTCATCCCTACTAATAAAAGGTTACTATAGTAACCATTGATTACTATATAATTTGTCATTGTAATATTTGTGTCATGATATTCAAATAAACAGTTCCCTAGGCACCACGCGAGCGGAGCCGCTGAGGGAAAGCTAGTATTAAATGAAGGACACAAAGTCTTGTAGGTAGGCGTGTCAATGACACGGGGCAGAAATACCCAAATTTTGAGTCGCAATACGAATATTAGGTGAGCCCTAACGGGCGATTTTCCACTATATAAGACACGTATTTATCTTTTTCTTTCAAACATCTAAGAAGTAGGATATTTCCCTAGATAGGAAAATTTTGTTAGATGGATGGCTCAATTAACTTTGGTCATCACTAACATAGAGAGATGGCTATGGTGTCATTGGCTTTAGTATTAGTACAGTATTAAAATACTTGTGGCTACAGTTATATAAATAAGATAAAGTTATTAGTTTGTTTATTTTAATTTACCTGATGTGCCAATACGCATTTTCCAATAGCGAACTGTGCTGTATTGGTTCTATCGAGACAGTCTACGCAGTTGACTCGCGCTAGTCCAGTCTGGAGGCGGCCGGCCTGGTGACCGGGCGCTCCGCCCCCCGCACTACACGCTTCCTGGAAGCCCCCCGCGCTACACGGTGCACAGCTCACAAACATACCAGTACGACGGACCACGTTGCCCGCTATAGCAGTCAATCTGTTACCGTAGACTTAAGGTTAAAATTAAAGTTTCTAAAACTTCATCATAATCATGAACAGTCCTTTTACGTCCCCATTGCGGGCCTTAATGGGCTATGGATGTTTAGATGAGCCGTGACCCTCTAGGCTGGCTCAATGCGGATTGGATGGTATAAACGGCTACAAATGTAACTGGGACTAACGTCTTAACGTGCCTTCCGAAGCGCGGAGTACCTAAACTTCGGTTGTATGAATTTTTAAACGTCAGAATTTTGGGTTTCGAATACTATGTTTTGAGTCACCAGCCAAATGGGTTGAGATCCGCTGGTCCTTTGTTAACGCATATTGTAACTTTTTATAAGTCAGGGTAATAATTTTATAGGGTTAAAAGGTAACAGCAGGTAACATTTTTCAGTCAATATATGTCATAGACAAGTATTAACGTACACATAAAGCTACAATGATTATACTTACTTATCTAAAACTTTAGCATCTGTCCCTTTGTTCATCCTGGCCATATCTAAATGTATGTACTGTATGGCATGTTCGGGTGATAAAAATTGATTTAAATATTTTATGGCATTACTAATCACATCACTCAGTAAAGATTCATGTTTCTTTTTTTCCCTTTTCTTTACCAAATTAACAAACATTATGGGGGATCCGTATCGGCGCATGAGATTATTTAAATGTTTCCCTGGAATTTCTGCGAAAGGGGTCACTGAGGTCAATTGAAATCGCCGGTTTCGGTACCATTTTGGAGACATCTTGAGACCAGTTGCTTGGTATGGACCCTCTCATTTGTACAAATGAACTAAATCTGTGAAATAGTTTAGAATAACACTGCATTAATGTCTAAAAAAGTTCTACAATTTATATGGTAAGCAGCGGCGGCCTTAGGGGGTGGCGAACGGGGCAATCGTCCGGGGCCTCGCTTTTCCGGGGCCTCGCGCAACAAGCCAAGCAAATTTAAAAATACATATATTTTTTTAACAATATTTTTTAAATTTAAATTTTTTATTTTGACCCTTAATTATTTATGCAGGTTATATATTATAACATAGCAGTTAATTAAAATAAAGTTTGTTAACTAAATCATTCATTCTAAACATAATTGAATACCCCATTCAAACCACTTGAAGATCGGTTTTTTATTGCATAACACTTTGTATAACTTAAGCATTTCTTCTCGAACATGACAAATACTTAACCCAAACAACCAGACCTACTTTCGAATCACATACTTTTCACAAAGGACAAAGGGCCTCGCAAAGACCTGCCACCCGGAGCCTCGCAATGGCTGAAGCCGCCGCTGATGGTAAGCAAACAATCAATTTGATCAGTTTAAAGACAAAATTAGTTTTTGAGATAATATTAAGAAAATAAAATCAAATATTAAAAAATTAAGAACTAGCCTCATACCTTCCAGATTTGAAAGATGACACCATTGAATCATGAACTATCTGCTCTGTTTCAACTTCATTGGCAACATCTCCATGCATATTAGCACCTCTTTTCAAGAACCTTGTACCAGCATATCTATTACTTCTCCTTGCTATGAGGGTAAGATAAACAGGTCGGCCGAAAATGTTAAGATTACTTTGTTCAATGAACCCATGTACAATATATAGAATCCAGTCAGGATGTAAGTGTGAGTGTACTGCAGATAACAGATGGCTGTTCCATACAAAACGCCATTCGGGCACTGATCTTACACCAATATCCATCTTTGAATGTCTAAAATTAAAAAAATATACATATCACATATAAAAGCATTTAAAAAAATATCTTTTGTATCCATAAGTAACTCATACTCTTTTTTTTCTCTCTATACAGAAGGATATGAGAACAATTAATTAAAGGATGTGTGAACATCTAAAATACAGTTCAGAATTCATTATTTTTATTCAAAAAAGCAATTTGGCAGTAAAAAACTAAAGAGTCAAATACAGTAATAATCTATTTTACCTTGATTTCTCTGGCCTTTGCGTTAGCTGTTTCCTCCAAGTCTCAAATATGTCTTCGTCATCATTCATGTTCTGGCATGTACATTGTTGTTCTCCATTTTCACTGTCAGAATTGGATCTAGCTTGGTATACTGCTGCAGTGACAGGTTTAGGGAACAACACTGGTGCAAGTTGCCTAGGAGGTGCCATATTCATTTGTAAAGTATGTGTTATGTCATAACTGTAACTATAGTAGAAGTTGGTTGACAAATCTACAGCTTGGAACATTTTTAAATATCTCTGCTCATCTGGATGCAGTGGCTTGCTCACATCACTTGGTATATATATTATAGAGGTGTCCTCAATTTTGTATATGGAATGAGAACCGATGACAGCAATTTTTCTACGTTTTGTCACGAGTATGATATAATAGCCTTCCAAAAATCTTATGAATCCTAAAATAATATATGAAAATAAGCATGAATCATGAAAATGTAGTTCTTAGATTTTGATTAGTAACAATGCCTATTTATCTATTAAAAATCCAATGAAAATTTATATGAAAAGCAAAGTTAATCTTAATGTTTATTAAGAAAAATAAATTTTAATTACCTACAATACCAAATGCAGAGACCAATTTATTGAAACCTGAAGTTCGTCCTCCTCTATTGCCGAAGCCAATCATGTTCAGCAGTTGATGGATCTCTTGCTTGTTGTACTCAACTTTGTCATCAACTAATATCAGCTCTCTAGGATCAGTTCTATCAATTTTTAGCACACGAAATCGGGTTTGTGTGTTATTAGAACCAATTAAATAAAATCTCTGTAATAGGTATATCCTATCGTAAATTGGCATGAACTTATTATTGCTTAGTAAAATAACTGCTTATGATATCTTAAAAAGGGAGGAACAGGAAAATACTTACTGCTTTAGTTTCGTAAAGAGCTATTCTCTGAATAGAACTGATAATAGGGTGGAACATTACGCTTTCTTTAGACATTGTGAACTAGTTTATTAAGAGAGAGTATAAATAGGATTATATTATTATATACAAACGATAAACTAAATAAACAAAACTATGCGATCAATAAACAGCTGACCAGCTGACACTGACAGTTCCTTTTCTTTCTTTTTTAATTTATTTAAAGCGAAGGGACCTAGCCCATACGACTAAATATTGATTAAGACGCAAATCTTAAAACTCAATTTTAACCCACTTCTCAAATGTTCGATAGATTTGAAATTTTGCGTAGACATTTAAGTCAGATGACAATGAAATATTATGGTGTCAGTAAGCTGACATGATGAAGAAGTCTGAAGGTCATAAGAACCTAGTGATTAAATGACGCAACTGCATCGTGTTTGGGCTCTTTAGATCCGTCTTGAGAACAACAACATATATAAAGTATAAACGGGAGTGATAACATGGCCTCACAGAAAACCAACGTGAAGCAACGCTTGCGTTGTGTTTCGTCGTGTGAGTAAGGGTATCGGAGGCCCAACCCCTCCCTATTTCCTTCCCTCTACCCCTCAACCCTTCCCTCCCTAAGATCATATTCGTTAAAGGCCGGCAGCGCTTGTAGCCACTCTGGTGTTACGGGTGTCCATGGGCGACGGTAATCACTTACCATTAGGTGATCCGTCTGCTCGTCTGCCCCCTATCCCATAAAAAAAAACACAGATCCTATGTCAAAAATGCAGTGGCGTACTGAGGGAGCGGTCCACCCCGGTTCTAAGGGGCCTCCAAATGGCTGCAAAGTCCTTTGAGCACATTATAAATTCGTTTCCTTCTTTGAGGAAACTTTCAGGAAAACTTCCGGCAGTTTTGGAAGTTGCCAATCATGTACATATTTTTTGTTGATTTAACTTTTTCTTCTTGGAAAAAAGCCTGTAAATCACTTTTTAACGATTAAGTATGTTGAAAATTACCCTATTCTTATAAATTAACATGTTAACAGTGTTTTATCAAACAAAAATTGTAACACTACTTTTTGTATGATAAGTACACAATGCACAAAACAATGTTTATTAAATTCGGAGTAGCTTGGTAACCTACGATCATTGTTGTTAAACGACTTTCGCAAGGATCGGTCACAGGATGGGTGACTAAAAAAGACTTATCTCGAGGAACTCCGTACTTTAAGCCGTTGGTCCCAGCTGCTTTTGCATACTTACCCACCAATTCACATAGGACCCGTGTGGAGGATCCATAGCCCATGCTCCTTAATTATCTATAAGGAAGACCTGAGCCCTTGCAGTGGAGACGTAAAAGGGCTGATGATGATGAATAACATTCGTTTTGTGGAATTGTTATTAGAGATATTTTAAATTCTACGATTTATCAAAGGTTACCTTAATGTAATGTCTTAACATATCAATATAGGACTTCAGATAGATAGTACAATGACACAATGCATGTGCACAAGATTGAGATTCTATTGACATATAAAAAAAACGTTAGTTTTTTTGTTTGGTTTGTTGTTAAAATCAATTGTATGCTACATAATTTAATTGGTTACATAATTAATATTCTAAGAATTTCTCAATACGTTGATTTTTGTCGAATAGTTATAATTGGTTAATGGAACAGGGATTGTTAAAAAAATACATTTAGAGTACAGCTAAATTCTGGCTCAGACCTTTTTTCATGTACATATGTACTTTTGCACTTATTTGTTCATTGTATTTACATAAAGCAAGTATGCTTCTTTACAAACAATTAGCGCAGTGTTCCAGAACAAGAAACTCATAAAATTTTCTTAGATTAACATCGTCTATGATTATGGCATTTTTATGAGAATTAATAAATGAAGTGGTGAAATAGTTACCTCCATTATATTGGAGCATAACGGGCCTCAAAACAACACTTTTATATTCAACATGACAGCGCATGACAAATTTACGTTAATTTTAGAATAGAATAACAATAATATGAATATTGCAAAAATTGTTTCAAGTTCCGCTGATTCCACTGTCCAATTTTATTAAAGAAAACTTGTCATCATTCTCATTTTCCCAAAAATCAACACAGCAGTTTATCTAATGTTTTTTCTTTAGAACATTAATACGGACCATTTCATGATTGCTGTGTTTGTAAATTGCAATTCTAATGTACATAAGGACAACTCATCATATTTATGATTAATCTTTCTAAATCACTTTATCACCGGTACCAGTGACACACACCGATAACGTGTACCCAAAGTATTTATATCTCAATAAGAAAGTCAAATCAACACTGAAATAATTATATCGCTTTCCAAAATTTCACATATTTCGAATGTTTTCAGGTAAACTTCCCGAAACTTTCCAATGTTCCCGAAACTTTCGGCAATTTTCAACACTAGACACAACCCTAGAGTTGCGTAGTAACTAATTAATGGAGATCAATATGAATGAAATCTACTGTAATTTAGACCGTGGTATTAGTATGGACTAGGAAAATATGTCAGAACAGGGGAATCTGAAACTGGAATTATGTCAGTACCTACCATAACTTTCAGATGAATTAAATTTAGTTTTTTTAAAGGATTTCGTTAGGCTAAGTAACTAAAGTTAAACTAAACTAAACTAAATAATTTGAAAAAATTTATTGCGATGGAAATAAAGCAAATTTTCAGTACTTTTAATAAATATCATTTTTATTGTCATATTCCCTTAAAACTGCAAGAGAATTTTTGTTATTTCCGAAAAAAAATAATTCCGTCATGAAATTTTATGTGCTATCGCTTTGCGGGGTAAAAACGATAGTACAAAACATTTTGTGTGCGGGGGGTATCGAATTTTGAGCAGTACACAGCGCCATCTACTGGTTTCAAAAATGACTATTATTTTCAGTGAACGCGTTCTATTGGATCGCTGAGATCGTCGCTATTGATTTCCTTGTTAAAAACAAAATGTCCTTATCCAAGTTGGTGATAGGAAATAATAAAAAAAAAACTTTTTCTCCTAGAAGATAAAATGGTATTTTTGCTTCACTTTATTTATTATATTATAATACAAATATCAGTAATTGCGAACTTTCTGAGCAAGTGAAAATTATTCTAGATATTATAACACAATAAGATAAATTTTATAAACATCAAAATAATTACATTACAACAAATGAATTAATTACATCAGCTGAACATGCAAAAGAGGGACATTTTATTTTGTAAGCCGTTACAAAAATTTTACTTTATAAAACAAACTAAACCCTGACATCCCTAATTAACTACGACATAAATTTAGTTTTTAAGGAATTTGTGTGTATTTTTTCAAACAAGCTTATTCTTCTAAATACTTGAATAATAATTATTGAATTGTGTTTGTAAGATAGTGAATATATTTAGTTATTTTTAAATCGTCCACATATTGAAAGATTTTTATTTTCGTCATCGCTACTGCCATATACTTTTAAATTTCCTTCAACATTCTAAAGCTCCGGTAGCTTTTCTAGAAACTCTATAATGAGTCAGCCTAAGGAGACTACAAAGAGTCACAAGGAGAGACTCTTAGTCAACGTTAAACACATTTTACGCATCAAATGAAACGAAACAATAAAGTGTACCGCATTGAAAATATCGAAAACTTATTAATAACACTAGAAACTTTGACACTACTTATTCACACTCATTCACACTGCCGTTTGCTGCCGTTAATGAGACACTAAATTGTTGTGTCGCGATAAATATCACAATTTGAAATATACGAAGACACTTCGTATATTTCAAATTGTGAAATATACGAAGGCGCATAAGAGGTGTGTAGTGTTGTAGTCTAAACTTTACTTAAAGCACTGTTCATAGAGACTTAAATACTCTACCTTTTTTATCTTTGATTTATTAAGTATTAGTTTTATTGAGTAATAGTATGAGACTTATTGAACTTATTGCGAATTATTTAGTAATACGAGGGTCAAACTGAAAGTTCTTAGAACTGGCCACTTATAAACAATATAATAAAAAAATAATTCTAAAATTTGAAAATATAACTCTTTGCCAATATTACTGAGTATATATTTCATTCATTTGTCATTTGTTTTACGATTTGGCGGCAAATTGAAAATTGTCTGTGTCACGTCATCATGAATTTAACACGAGAAAATTTTCGTGCAATGATTTTTTATGACTTTCGATGTCATTTAAGTCAACAAGAAAGTTATGATAGACTACGATTGGCCTTTCACGATGAAGCCCCATCTCGTGCGACTGTTTACAACTGGTTTAATGAGTTTAAACGTGGTCGCACTAATCTCACTGATGATTTACGTGAGGGACGGCCTTCTACGGCGACGACTGAAGATAACATCTGTGTTGTGCGGCGTATGATAGAGACTGACAAAAGAGTGACCTATCAACAAATTCGGACAAGCTTAGGCATCGGTATGAGTCAAGTGCACAAAATCCTCCACGAACATTTAGCGGTCAGGAAGCTTTGCGCCCGGTGGATACCTCATAATTTGACTGAGGCTCAAAAACTCCATCGTGTGGATTGGTGTCGTAAAATGATTGAAAGATTTAACGGAGGTGACTCAAATGCTGTGTTCGACATACTAACAGGTGACGAAAGCTGGATTTACTGTTATGATCCTAAAACCAAAAGACAATCTGCTCAGTGGGTGTTTCCTTTCGAGGAGTTGCCAACTAAAGTGAAGAGAGATCGAAGTGCGGGAAAAAAAATGGTGGCCTCGTTCTTTGGAAGGATAGGTCATTTTGCAACAATTGTGTTAGAGGATCAAAAAACAGTTTCTGCAGAATGGTACACTACCAATTGTTTGCCACTTGTCTTGGAAAAAGTTCGAGAGAAACGACCTCGCAGTAGGATCCTCCTTCACCACGACAACGCCTCGTCACACACCGCCAAGCGAACGATCGACTATTTGGCGACATCAAACGTTGAATTACTGGGTCACCCGCCGTATAGCCCCGACCTCGCGCCTTGTGATTTTTATTTATTTCCAAAAATTAAAGAAAAACTTAAAGGAAAGCGGTTTATGAATGCTGAAGAAGCGGTGGCTGCGTATCGCGATGCCATTGAAGAGACCCCTAAGGACGAGTGGGCAAAGTGCTTTTCCCAGTGGTTCCATCGCATGCAGCGGTGTATTGACGTGAATGGACAATATTTTGAAAAGATATAATAAAACTAATAACTGGCTAATGTAATCAGTTTTTGATTTTCTAAGAACTTTCAGTTTGACCCTCGTAGTATGAATTTTAAAAATCTATTTACTTACTACACTACTACTACTGTAAATAAGGTAGATTACTCATACCTTAGCTTATTTATAGTTCACTATATAATTTGCCTCCTCTGATTTAGGAAAAAACTCTGATTTGGAAGAACTTGGGATACGCCCATAATTTTAATTATTTAATATTTTAGTCCAT